AAGAAAGAAAGAAGAAAAAAAACTAAAATGTAAATATGCTTAAATCTTTTGTCAGTAGTTTGAAGCCTGGAGGTCAAAACATAATCTCATGGGAGGGGTCAGAATCATAAAAGGTTTGCTCTTTATGGGGAAGACTTCAGCATGGAGCAATTAAAAAGAGCTAAAAGATCTCTGAAAAAAAACCTATTAAAACAAATTTAAAAATAAAAAATAAAGAAATTTTAATCTTGGTAAGAAAAAAAAAAGTTAGTTCACATATATTCTTCCCCCCTCCCCTCAAAATATAGAATTGATTTTATTAAAATGCTATAAAACAGGAAAAACAATTACACCCAGTAATCCAATTACTGCTGTCATAGTGAACAGAGTGGTATTTAGGGGACATCATATATAAATTTAGGAAATATTAAAGGCAGGAGTTATTAGAACTTCTAGCAGCCTAAGCTTCTTCATTAGTTCTGGTTTCAAAATAGGACCATAAAATTAGATTCTGTGTCAATTATAAAATAATAATCTGCTAAATCATAATGTCCCTTTGCTTAAAGTTATTATTGCCGGAATTTGGAATTATTAAGATCATTTAACTATTTGTTTAGGTTCCAACAAATAATGTTAGGAGAAAATTAGATGTATCAGTTGGGGTTCTTTGCGACAGAAACAACAGGAAAACCAGGCTTGGACCAAAGCAGGCCCACAAAGGTAAGAGGGTCTACAGAACAAAACTGAAATTATCTGATCAGGACATAGGCATTAGAATGAATGAACGCCAACTAGTTTTAATCTTTTTATTCCTGTGTTCAAGATTCAGATTCCAAAAAGGGAGCGATGAATTGGCCCAGCTTGCATCACTAGTCCTCATCAGGGCCTGCAGAGGGCCCATGAAAAGTCCCACCTGATTACATCTAATGGGTAAGAACAAATTACTCGAGAGGTGATGATTGGAAGGAGAAACGTATGCTGAACAGAAAACAGTATACAACCCTCCCTTGGTAACACTTAGCACATGGATGGAGGAGTCCTGCCTATTCCCAATGAGAAATCTCAACTGCAAAGATACTGAATGCTCAGTTGGTGAACTCCAAGAGCAAGGATGATAGCCACACACACTGACTGTTCTATTTGGTCAGAAGTAGAAGATCAAGGATACCTCATATGATTTTAGGAGCAACTCATTAAAATAAATTTGAGGTATATTAAGTAAAAAGCCAATATGAACCTCTAGAAGTCAAATAATCAACACAGGAAAATAGGAAAAATAAATCCCCCATAATCAAGAAAAAGTCACCTCATTGGAAAAACTAACAGTGAACTAGGAGAGGTTTTGCTTTATTCATGGCCACAAGTTTGTCCACCTTTTATTGATGTGTAATAAAACAGACACCTGATGAGATTATCCAGCTCCACAGGGTCAGGAAACTTTTGAAAAATTAAAACAGGGTGTGAATTATTTAAGAGTTCTGAAAAGACCCAGGCTTTTCAAACCACTTTATGGTATTGGGTGACATATCAGTTACTGATTTGGGGATAATTTTATTGCTAGATCATGATAATGTAAAACATTCTGTAATATGCACCAGTACAAAATGTGTGTCAAGGGAAAGAAGTTTATTTGTCTTCTTTAAGGAAAGAAAGTTTGGCAATTATTTGAGCCATAATATTGTTGTTTACAAGAGTACCCTGAGGACTGATCATTAAGCCTTAAAATTTGGGGGATGGGGGCGGGGAACTACCACTGAAGAGCAGAGGTGGCTACAGAAGATTTCAGGACTTCTAAATATTCAACACTTGCTAGATGGTGAAAACCCTTAAGGGGGACCCCCTCGTGAAAAGTAGGATCTCGAAATGTCATGAGTTTATCCTAAAGGGCATTATACTTACAGGTTGCTTTTTTTTTCTTTTTTTTAAATTAAAATTGTTTCACTTAAAAAATAGAAGGAAAAGATGCACAAGGAGAAGGTGGAAACTTCAGACTTCCCATATCTCCAGTATGTTCCCCAGTCTCAGTGATAGGAAGACAGATACTTACCCAGAATGGGCATTTTATGACAGTATAAAAATAAGATTGAATCATAATAAAACAAAGGGGAAAATCCCAGAAGTTTAACTCTCTGAAGGCTCTGAGAGACCACAAGATTAGTCCTGAGATAAACAGTTCCAAAAGTCAAATGAGCTTTATTTGCCATACAGATCGGACTAAGTACCAATATCCTCCAAGCACTAGACAGTAGCATGTGGCCACAGAGGAGTCTGCTGAAAAAAAAAGTCTTTCAACAAAAATCAGACACCATTTGGCCTTGTTAGCTGAGATTATCCAACAACACCATCAAACTCCTTCATTCAAATGCTGAAAATTCTAATTTAATTAGGCTCTTCCCTAACACACCCAGGAAAGTCTTTTCTACCTTGAACAATGATAGTATGTGTCTATCCAAAATCCTTAGACTTCTTATAAACTAGACTCTACTTTCTCTCTAGTCTCACTTCTTACTGTTCTCTCTCAACACTCCCCTCACCCCCTTGCCATTGCATCTAAGCTTCTGTCACCCTGAATGACTTATTGGACTACAAGTACTCTATGACCTATCTAGCCTCAGGACATTTGCACATGTTGTTCTCTCTGCCTGGAATGTCCTTTCCACCTTTTGTACTCCTCTTTCTCTAGTTACTCCTGCTTATCTTTCAGTATTCAAGTTCATGTCACCTTTTCTAAATGTTTCCTTAAACATTCTCCATTACTGGTTTAGGTCTTCCCTTGACAAATTCCTGACAATCTTACAATTCAAGCATCTATGACACTCACCCATAATTACCTAATTACTTGTCTATGTTCTCATGGACTACATTTATCTTGAAGGCAGGGACCACAAAGACACCGCAATCTATCAATATTTGTTGAATAAACAAAGGATTTTTGTTTCTTTGTTTTTGTTCCCTGTACTCAGCATAACATCAGGCACATAGTCAGCTTTCAATAAATATTTGCTGAATGGATCAGAGGCACTCAAAAATGTTTGTTGGATGGATGCAGTGATGGGCAGATGACCAGAAAGTACTACGTATCAGAAATCTCCCAATATTCTACTTCCTGATTTCAAAAACCTTTCCTGCTAGCTCTTTCAGAGTGATTTTCTGGTCACTGATCTCATAGAGATGTCCAATCTCTTAACATCTCCGTAGCCACCAAGTCTTTAAACCCCTTGATGGTGTCATTTCCTTTCCTACTCAATCTGCACATAGTTTTTATTTTAAACTTTAATCTATGCTTTCACTTTTTAAAAATCCAACCCTGTACAAAACTCTGCTGTCATAAATATTCTGTTGTCACAGCTACTAAAAATACCACACCAGGCTAATGTCCCACCACCATACTTATGGGGCCCCCTAAAAATTCAGTCTTCAACCTCAGCTAGAACTTCATCATGCTGGTCAGTCCTTTAACTTGCAGTCACCTACCTCTCATTTGTCCCTTTCCACTTTCCAATAATCATCTCTCTCCTCAGTCCAACTATGCACCCTCACTTGCTATTCTTTTTTTTCTTTATTGATTTTTTTTATTAATTTATTTTTGTTACAGATGTTTCTCCTTTTTCCCCCATTGAAACCCTCCTCCCGCTATTCTTGGCAGATATCTTTGCCTCCTACTTTATCATATGATTGAGGTAAGAGGGTATCAACTCAACTCTCTGCCTCCACACCAACAGACTTCATTAAACCTATATCTGTTCTTTCCGCCTTCCCTTCTTTTTTTTTTTAATCCTCACCCAAGGATATTTTTCCATTTTTTGTTCAGATAGAGTGGGAAGGAGAGAGAGAGAGGGACACATCAAGTGGCTGCCTCCCACACGACCCAACCAGGGCCAGGGACAAACTGCAACCGAGGTACGTGCCCTTAGCGGGAACCAAACTCGGGTCTCTCTGGACCACAGGCTGACACTCTAACAGCTGAGCCGAACCGGCCAGGGCCCACCTTCCCTTCTATATCAGAGGATGAGGTGTGTGCCCCACAGCCCACCCTCCATTGAAGGGGAATCCCTTTATTTGTGCTTTCAATCTCATCCCCTCCCCTCTTCTGTCAGACTCCACTTTATGTATTAACCACTCTGTCACATCTTCCATTTCTCTCTTTTTGTCTGGCTTTTCATTCTGAGCATATAGATATGCTAAAATTTTATCTCTTAAATGCTTCTTAACTCTGTATCCTCCCCCTAGCATTGGCCTACTTTTTTCTTTCCCTTATCAGCCAATCCACCTGCAGCATTATTCTCTACCTCATCGTGTGCCATTCACTCAGACAATACAGCCAAATGTTTGTGGGGAACACACAAGGGAAATAATTTAAAAGATTCCATAACTTGAAATGTTATTGTTCTCAGTAATTTAAAACCAAAATCAACACCTAATGAATCAGCAAGAAGACAGAACAACTTCCAGGCCAGAGTGAGACAACATCAACAAGGCAATTGGTCCATAAATTACCAATATCCATCTGAGAGAGGGTACCTTCGCCTATGGACTTTAAGTATTTTAATTCCATGTAAGGAATGCATTATGCTGGCACCGTGTCACTAAAATTCTATAGTTACCCTTATTTTGAATTATTCACATTTCATTTGACTTCCTGTGTTAAGTTGCCCCTACAGAGAGAGAATATAGAGATTAAATTTCTCATGTCAGGAGAGTTCAGAACTGGAGATATACAGGGTGGGGGAAAGTAGGTTTATAGTTGTTTATATGGAAAAGAATATAATAAAAAATAAATAACAATACAAGAATAGACTCTGTGTTTAATGTACTCACAACTATAAACCCACCTTTGCCCCGCTCTCTAGATTAGCTCCCCTGCTCGGCACTGGTTCATTTCTCGAATGACTAGATTTGGTAAACCTGAAGGTTCGAATTCTAACGTTAATGGCAACACATTATTTTTAGAAAAAGGAAATAAACCATTCATTTAACAGAGGTTTATGTCAAGACTAAAATAAGAAATGATATATTGTTACCATCAGAAAGTTGTGTGAAGAGGTACAGGTTGCATCTTTCCCAAATACTAGAAGAGCCTTCTGCATCAAGTAAATTGCTTTGGATAGCTTATTCTTCCGTATTTTATTCATCACACTTACTTCTGAAAAAGTAAACAAACATTTTACCGAAAGGGTAATATAAAAAAGATCTTCACAAATTTTTGGAAAAACAGGTTATCACAGATTTAATTACCTGTAAAACAATCAATGCTTCCAGATTGTTTCAGCTTTTCTGGAATGTTGGTAGATATATTTTTGCTAACAGTTGGAGTCTGCAAAGCTGAAGAGGAAGAAGGAGATGGCTGTTACAATTAGGCCGTGTCCAAGATCAGAAATATTTTCTAAACATTAAAGAATAATTATCTATTTGTAAAATTATCACATCCTCTTTTCATGTTATCTTTTCTCCACTGATAGATAAAAATTCAAACAAGTCTACTATAATGCAGTTTTATTGCCAGATCTTGTATTTGCCACAGTATACCTTAGGACACAGAATTTTCAAGTTACTTCTCACTCAAAAAACACATACGTATTTTCTGTTTCATCTTCAGTAAAATCATCTTGAAGATTGATAAGTAGGAGCCAATCTACTTTTGTTCACTTTCCCTTTTCATAAACTTTTCAAAACTGCTTCATCCCTGGTCTCTGCAAGAATATACGAAAACTTCCACTCCTCCAGCTGTGGCTGCTGAAATGAGAGCTTCTCTCAAGATTCTCAATAACACAAATTACTGCCAGTTGACTGTGGACATTAAGACATCCTGGTGTGCAACTGGGACTTACCAGCATGGTGGTCCATGAAAGAAAGGAAGCTGGAGGAAGGAGAGAGGGATAAAGGTGGGTATGCTGGCCCAGGGAGATGGAGAATGCTGCACTGTTTTGTTTTGTTTTTGTTTTCCAGGTCTGGTTCTCAAGAGATCTGGCAATATTTTGTTTCTGTTCTTGAAGGTGTGTGAGGGCTCCTGTAGTAACTTTACAATAAACCCCTTAAACTGAGGTCTAATTATTGGTGCTAATGCATGTCAGTCACCATGGGATGATGATTGATGAAAAGATGCCAACAGACACCATTAAAGGATATAAAGTTTCTTTAATGGCGAAGGATAAGGGAATTTATCTGCAAGGAGATAGCAACACAAAGCAGAACAGAATGCATCATTCTCTCAGTACCTGGAGCATTGTAAATGCTGATTAAGCAATAGCTTTCATGATTACTGAAGCAATAGCTTTCATAATTACTGAAGATAAAAAGGAGGAGACTGCAAGAAAACTTTGCCTAATAAAGATAAGTCATATTTAATGCTGCTGTCGTCAACAGGCAACCATTATAAAGTTCTTGAATAAGAATGACGAAAACAGTATTTAGGCAATATTAGTCTGGTAACAGCAAATAAGAGTGAAGAAAGACAGGAGGAAAAAGTTAATAATCTGTGCTAGGGTTTTTGTTCAATAAAGTGGAGAAAAAGTCCAAGAAGACCCAGAGATACTGCAAAGGAATAATAACTGAATATTCCATTTAATTTTAAGCTCAAGTCTACCTTCAATATTTTTAAGTGGTCTCTGATAAATACTCAAAGAAGCTTTCAAGGATTTACAGCTGACAATTAGAGAATGAACTCACTGTTTAGTAACTCTATGAGTAAATAAACACTTTCTCCACTGAAGAAGATAATACAGCTACTAAATGAGAATCATGAGCTAGTTTCCTTAAAGAAAACCTGATACATAAATGCAATTCACATTTTAAATATATTCCTGATCCAAATCTTTTAAACTAAAGCATATTCAAAGTTATTATTCTAAGTGACCTCATGTATGTATTAGGAAAACCTTATCACGTTTTTCAGTGTATATATGGCACGAACACATTTTAATGATTTCCTTTCCTCCACACCAAGTAGGTTTTTTGAGAAACAGTTTTTGAAACAACATAAATGTTTAAAGTGAAATATAAAAGAATAAAAGAATGAAAGAATGAAAATTTTATATGAACAAGCAGCCATCCATATATATCAAATTGATAACATAACCATACAAAAACTAGATTTAATTCAAGTAAATTTGAACAGTCTCTGATGTGTGATACATCCTAAAGACAAAATGAACCACAAAGAAATAATGAATTTACTTATTAGGTTTGTTGTTAATGGTGGTATTGGTATAATAATTTTGAAAGTACTTTATTAATTATGGCAGGATAAAGCAAATGCGTACATTGGTATTGTTGGAAACTGAATTTTCAACATGGGAGAAGGAAAATACAGAACTTTGGATTTTCAAAGTGTTGGACTTTCAACTGGCAATATCAGAAAGAATGTGTGATATAAACAAATGTATATTCTTATCTTTATTGACAAAAAGAAACTAGTTGACATCCCAATAACAATGAGCACTTCTAGTTCACAGATCTTAGTTTTTAAATACTATTTCTTACCAAAAGGAACCAGGAATCCTTAGAAAAATTGACTGATTCCAGGTCTGGGGTAGTTAAAGCTTAAGGTAGGTCTAGAATATTTTGTTATGCAGAAAGTAAGAACTTCTCAAAAAATAATGAGGACATAGCAAAAGAACACAGAATCTATTTTGAGGTCTCCCCATGGCAAAATGTGTGACTCTGAGCATCAGAAAGAGCAATGATAGTAACTGATTTTAAAAGATGTAATAAAGCTCTGGCCAGTTATCTCAGTGGTTAGAGCATCGGCCCACGGACCAGAGAGTCCCGGATTTGGTTCACACTAAGGGCACTTATCTTGGTTGCAGTTTGTCCCTGTCCCGGTCCCCGGTTGGGGTCGTGTGGGTGACAACCATTCAATGTGTCTCTCTCAGGTCAATGTTTCTCTCTTTTTCTCTTCCCTCATCTCTCCCTCCTGCTCCATCTGAAGAGAAATGCAAAAATGTCCTCAGGTGAGGATAAAAAATTAAAAAAAAATTTAAATAAAAAAAAAAAATATGTAATAAAAAAGAAATCCATTCCATAGTATAACTCAAAAAATGAAAAGGGAAAAGTAGGGACAGTTCTACTTTACAAAAGGATGTTAGCAAATAAATGTAGCAGGAATAGTTCAATTAGAAAATCACTGTGTATAGCCATCATAACAATTCATTACAGAAGGATCACCAGTAGATGCCAAAACCATTGGGTAAGAAAAATTTGTTGAAGAGTAAGACATTCATTCTATCTCAAAGCATTATCTGACAATACCAATTATTTTTTCACTATAAAGGGGAAAAGGTTCCATTAGGTAGAAACCACCTTAACAAAATAACAATGCTTTGCCTCACCAATGATTGTACAAATGGACAATATGTGCAGTATAATGGGATACAATGGGCTAAGGAAACTACCAGGAAAACTTAGATTGTAGAATGTCTTAGAAACATATCTTCAAAAATAAGTCATAAAAGAAAAAAGTTACAGGAATTATTCTAGATTAAAAAAGAACATGACAGAGAGGTGATATCAGCATCATGGCAACAATAAGAAGTTTCTCATTTTTGTCTTCCTCCCCCACCAAAACAACAAAATTCAGTATCCATTCATAGACAAAAGTGTCTGGGAAAGAAGAATAAAGCTGGGGGCATCATACTTCCTGATTTCAAATTATACTACAAAGCTATCATATCAATACAGTATGGTACTGGCACAGAAATAGACACATAGACCAATGGAACAGAATCAAGAACCCAGAAATAAACCCATCCATATATATTCAATTAATATTTGACAACAGAGCCAAGAATACTCAATGGGGAAAAGACAGTCTCCTTCAATAAATGGTGTTGGGAAAACTGAATATCCAGCCCTGGTCAGTTTGGCTCAGCAGTTAGAGCGTTGGCCTGTGGTCCAGAGAGACCTGGGTTTGGTTCCCATTAAGGGTGTGTACCTCGGTTGCAGTTTGTCCCTGGCCCTGGTTGGTCGTGCGGGTGGCAGCCACTCGATGTGTCCCTTTCATGTCGATGTTTCTCTCTCTCTCTCTCTCTCCCTCCCACCTGTCGAACAAAACATAGAAAAATGTCCTCAGGTGAGGATAAAAACAACAACAACAACAAAAAAAAAAACCCCTGAATATCCATATACAGAAGAATAAAATTGGACCCTATCTTACATCACATTGGTCTTGGCAACAATTATTTTGATCTGACAGCAAAAGTGCAATCAACAAAGAAAAAAAATTTTTTCTAAACGAAAAGGCAACCTATAGAATGGGAAAAAATATTTGCAAGTCATACATTGGGTAAGCAATTAATATCCAAAATATATAAAGAACTAATTCAGCTCAATAGTAAAAAAAACAAAAACAAGAAACAAAAAGACAGTCTGATTAAAAAATGGGTGGAAGAACAAAATAGACATTTTTCCAAAGAAAACATGCAGATGACCAACAGACACAGGAAAAGGTGCTCAACATCACTAATCATCAGAGAAATGCAAATTAAAACCATAATGATATATCACTTCAGACCTGTTAAATAAAATGGCTATTATCATAAAGACAATGGATAAGTGTTGCCGAAGATGTGGGGAAAAAGGAACCCTTGTGCACAGTTGGTGGGAATGTAAACTGGTTCTATGGAAAACAATCTAGAAGTTCCTTTAAAAAATTGAAAATAAAACTACCATATGATCCAGCAATCCCACTTTTGAGCATATCACCAAAGGAAATAGAAACAAGATCTCAAAGAGATATCTGCACTCTCATGCTCATTGTAACAGTATTCACAGTAGCCAAGATATGGAAACAACTCAAGTGTTCACCAGTGGAGAATGGATAAGAAAGATATAGTATATACACAATAGAATATTATTCAGCCATGAGAAAGAAGGAAATTTTGCTAGTTGCATAAACATGGATGGACCCTGAAGGCATTATGCTAAGTGAAATAAGTCAGACAGAGAGAGACAAATACTGTACGATATCACTTATATGTAGAATCTAAAAAATCTGAACACGAAGAAACAGAGAGCACAGTGGTGTTTTACCAGGAGCTGGGGAGGTGGAGGAAATAAGGAGATGTTTGTTGTAAGATGAATAACTTCTGGGTATCTAATAAATATACAGCATGGTGATTATAGAAATAATACTGTATTATATACTTGAAAGTTGCTGAGAGAGACCTTAAATGTTCTTCCCACAACAAAAAAATGGTAATGATGTGACGTGATGGAGGTCTTAGCTAACACCATGGTGGTAATCATTTTGCAATAAATGTGTATCAAATCAACATATTGTATTCCTTAAACTTATACAATGTTATATGTCAATTATATCTTTTATTTTTTTCTTTATTGATTTGAGAGAGAGAGGAAGGGAGACGGAAAGACACAAACATCAATAAGAGAGAACATGAATTGGCCACCTCCTGCGCGCCCCCCACTGGGATTGGGTTTACAAGCCTGGGCATGTGCCCTGACCCGGAATTGAATGGGCAACCTCTTGGCACATGGGTCAATGCTCAATCACTGAGCCACACTGGCTGGGCTGTCAATTATATCTTAATAAAGCTGGTGAGGAAAAGTTTACACTCTAAAATTAATTAACTAATTACATAACTAGCTTCTGATTAAATAAATTTAGCTGAATATAGGATGTGCTTCTGTATGCTTTAGACGGAGATCAGAGGTCATATGAGGCCACAACACAGTTCTATTCTACAATTACTCAGCAATTTAAAATGAAGAAAGGTCAGTTACATTAATAGTGGCTATATAATCATGTCAAGAGTAATTTGGCTTTATAAAAATTTAATCCTCAACAGAAGAGTTTTTAGATCTAATATTAAATCTTATTTTGAGATTCAAGTAAACATATTATTTGTATTGCTGCTGGCACATTTTCTTAAGGTGTTTTGATCTCTTTACCTAATAATAAGGCAAGAACAACTTAGATTCAACTCATCTGTCCTCTGACAGCTGTCAGAGATGTCTTTCTAGTTTTTCATTAGCTTTCTGGGTAAAATATAAACCCATTAGCCCTTCAAGATCTATCTGTGATCTAGCTCTCTAGGCATATCTGTTATTCCCTGGGGTGTGCTCTCTGTCCAGCCATGAGAATTTCAGTAGTTCCTAAAACTGCACCAGACAATTACTCACTTCCACTTTGCTAAAAATTAGTTTCTCTATCCAAAATGATGGCCTCCTTTCAATCTTCTTCATAAAGATAATATTTACTAGCTTTCTGATCAATTATCACTTCTTCCAGGTAGTCTTCCATGACTTTCTTGTTTAACATAGATACTCATCTTCTGTGGTCCACAAATGGGCCCTAAAACTCTGAGACCATTTCTATTACATTTAGTAGCCTCAATTGTTGTAGTTGGCTTACTTATCTATAAACTCAAAAGTAGAGGCTGTGCCTTATTTGTGCCAAGCCTAACATGGTTCCTGGATCTTGGTAGCACTAAATAAACGTTTGCTTCATTGATTTAACAAACTACTAATAATTTACTATAGCTCAAATAAACAATTTAATAAGTTTACTAACCTATTAGCTACATAAGGTGTAGCAGTGGTTCTCAACCTTCCTAATGCCGCAACCCTTTAATACAGTTCCTCGTGTTGTATGTGGGCGCATCTGCATGTGGGCGGACCCACCTGGAGGTGGATAGAGGAGAAGGTGTCACAGTTCCTAAGACCATTGGAAATACGTGTTTTCCAATGGTCTTAGGCGACCCCTGTGAAAGGGTTGTTCGATGCTCAAAGGGGTCACAACCCACAGGTTGAGAACCGCTGACTGTAAAGAATAATGAAAGCCATCTATTGATATCATTAACCAGAGAAGAAAAAAATACATAAATAAAATTTACCTGGAAAATACCCAGTTGACAAGAACACAACTTACAAATTCAATTAATCATAAATTTATCTTAAAATTGATTCACAACAGATTATTTGCTTTAATGACTACTACCTTGCAACTGGTCAAGAAGCACAACAGCTATTTGGTGCTGAGCTTGAATTAGTTCAAGATGTAAATCCATCATGAAACTATTTGGTGTGACTGGTTTGGAAATGTCTCCACCTATATCATGGGTGTACTTTTATAGAGTTGAAGTAAAAATAAAAAAGAAATACAGTTACTAAAACATATTAGTAACAGCTCTACCCTCTAAGCACCCAAGTTATCATTTTACTCTTAGCTGTTAAATCCTGCTCATTTTTCAACCCTCTGCACTCTGTCTTAAAATTCACCTTCAATGACAAATTCAAAGACTCCTCACTCTTCTGGATATCTTCTGGGAAGAGGGGACTGAATATGTTTCTGGCTTATGAGAGGGAAGCCACCACAAATCTTGCTTTACTTATTTACTTGCAAGGCCAGCCCTTGTCCTAGTTAAGTAAAACTTACATCTAATATAGGAGTTTCCCATTCTTACCTTGGTATGGTAATGATCAAACACTGATAATCCATTTGGCAAAGTACTTAACATGCAATTATAATTTATTCCACCAATTGCTTTGTCAAGAAGTTCATAAGCCAAAAATAACTGTTCCAAGGGTTTTTTCTAAAGTGATTTTATAAACAAAAAATAAAAATAAAAGTTGAAAAATTATATGCAACATTTCTAAACTTCTTTTAACAATAATTCAAAGTCAAATAACAAATTTAAATAGTCTACCCAATGTCAACAATATTATATTTCTTACTAGGTATATTTGTCTTTTGAATAATATGGAATATTATTTAAAAAGGTAAAATAAATACATTTCATCATTTTTCTAAATATAAATTATATTTTTCATAAACATGTATGTAACTTCCTTTTATGGTTTTCAGAATTCTGATTATAACAAATGTATAGGTAAATTTAAAAAATATAATTCACTTGTAATTTTCACATATTTTATTTTGAAAGTTAATGTTTTTAAACCTCAGACTCTCAGAGTTAGAAATTTAGACTTAGAAGCCATCAGATCCAATGTTCTACATCATGATTTTCAAAAACTAAATACCTTTTTAATGTAATTATTCTTATATAGTGATTAATATAAAAAGCAACCAACTTTGCTCAAACTTTCTAACTTTCCATATATACTCCAGAAAAAAATAAAAAAGCAAACACATACATGCATATAGTTGAAATCCCTGTGTAACTGTCCACAGTGACATTGCTCTTCTCTGTCCCAGAGGTAGTCATTGCCCTTGAGTTTGGTTTTTCCATTCTTTTGCATGTTTTTAAACTTTTACTATTATGTGTATATGTCCATTAATGATATGCACTATTGCTTTGTATATTTTTAATTCACTCATAAAATTCTGAAGTTTGTTTTTTTTCATTCAACCATATGTTTTTGAAAGTTTTTCATGCTGGTGTATGTAACTCAATGTGTCAGTCAAGGCTTGGTTAGAAACACAGAATAACTCTAGATATTCCCAAGAGAAAGGAACTAAATACACAGAGCTGGAGGTGTCTGTCACCGTTGGAAGTCCTGGGGAGCAAAGATCAAGAAAGCTGCCAGTGATTATTTTGCTGCCTGCAGAAGCCTCTGTGAATCTAAGAATCTAGAAGGTGACTAACAACCTCAAGGGTCTACTACACTGAAACAAGTGAGTTGCAAGAGCTTGCCCATTAGGGCTAGTCAATTCACTTCTTCCATCTGCCACCACAGCATAAGAACTCTTTCCTTCTGTATTGCAAATTCATGCAAATGTCCCTCATTGGAAGACTAACCTAGAACTCTATGGAGACGAAAGGCAGGTTTGCCTCCTATGATACAGAGAAGAGGATGGCAATGATGCCAAAGTTCACTCTAGCTCAAGCCCACTCTAGTTCATCCTCATGGCTACAGTGAATTATTGTACACTGAGGAATATGTCACAATTCATTTATCCTCTCTTCTGCTGATGGACACTAAGACTGCTACTACTAAAAATGTGCAATGTATTGTATTCGTCTGTCAATAAATACAAGGTTGATACTTCCTTTACAGTTCTTATACCTTTTCTTCTGCTTCCTTTTTTACTCCAGTCAATAAATACAAGCTTGATACTTCCTTTACAGTTCTTATACCTTTTCTTCTGCTTCCTTTTTTACTCCATATTCTAAGCCCTTTAGGACATGTTGAACAGAATAATGACAGATATCCTGACGTTGTTACATCAGTATAAAAGGACTGCTATTCATCATTTACCACAAGTATAACACTCATTGGAGGTCTTCAGACCTTTATGGGGTACAGAAGTTCTAATTTGTTAAGAGTTACTTTAAAAAATAAAAAAAAAGAGTGTTATTGAATTTTGTGAAATGCGTTTATTGCATCTCTTTATCTAGTGAGGTGGTCGTATTTTTTTCTTTTCATCTACTAATGTGGTGTGTTCCATTATAGATTTTCTAATGTTAAGTCACCATTGCATTCCTGGGATATACACAATTTGGTTACATTTATCCATTCAAGATATATAATATATATCTCCCCCTCCATTGAATGGAGATATAAGAATCACAGATTCACAAGAAAAGTTAAATTCAAGAGGTGGAAATGCTATCCATGACACCCTTTTTATTGAAATCTAACTCAAACAAGAATCAATGTTCCAATTGTAATTATTATATTATGTGTGACCAAAAATAAAAATAAGAATAAAAAATTGTGCCAAGAGATAGGGTTTAAAGTCCAGCACTTGAACTACATTTGTGTGCACCAACTAAAAATAATTCATAATTTAAATTTAAAAAAAAAAAAGAATCACAGGCTCAGGGAGGTTTTCAAGCCTCTCAAATAGTGTAAATTCAAATAACAGAACTACTTGAGGGCAAGCCCCATATTATAAATCATTAGAGACTTTCTCTCATCCACTCTCTTCTCAGTACCCATTGAGATACCTCCCTATACAAATAGCCAGATTTTTTTCCATACTCTACCTTTTCCTAGGATGTAGTCTTTCGTAGGATCTAACTTTATATGTGCGTCTCAGTTCCAAGCCTTCATCTTTCTGTGCCCAAGCCTTATCTCTTGTCCCTGGATGGCTGTTATCTAAGTGTCTTTGTAACTAAGCCCATCAATCTACTACAGTATCTACTCATAAACATATACTCTGGTTTTTAGTTCCCTTTTCTATTTCGGCCCCTGGAGTTTACCTTACTTTCTAGTAAACTCTGGAATGTACTTGAAGATATTTGTTCAATTCTGTTCAAAATTTCTAGATGTTTTTCAGCAAGGGGGTTTCCTGATCATCTAGTTTGCTGCTTTTCCAGAAACTGAAGTCTCTAAGGATAACTTTTTAACATAAAAAATTTTCAAAGAGCCCTAACCAGTTTGGCTCAGCAATTGGAGCATCAGTCCGAAGACCAAAGGGTCACAGATTCTATTCCTGGTCAGGGGCATGTGTCTGGGTTGCAGCTTTGATCCCTGGCCCCAGTGGGGGTCATGCAGGAGGCAACCAATTGATGTGTCTCTCTCACATCAATGTTTCTCTCTCTCTCCCTCTCCTTCTCCCTTTCTCTCTCTCTCTAAAGTCAATAAAGAAAAAAAATATTTAGGGAATGCCACTGACACTGTTGTCATCAGGTTTGTATATGTATTTTGACAATTTCCCATCAGATGGCAGTAAATCATCTCAAGGAAAGAGCAAATTTTTCTAATTTAAATAACAGCAATAGTTCTTAAGTGATGTTCAGTTTTTTGTTGTTATTGTTGTTGTGGAAAAATGGCACCTTCTAAAAAACCTATTTCATTTAGTGGCATTGCCAGAAATTTTCCATCACAAGCAAAAACCTAGCACTTTGAAACTTCCACTAGTATTCCTATCCCTGTCCTATGAAGCCTTAGAGAGTGAGTGCCGCCAGCCCACTAAGCCAGTGATTCTCACATTCTCGTGTCCTAAGAATCTACCTAGGGAACTGGTAAGAGGCACATACCTGAATTAAGAACTTTTAAGAACCTGACCCCTGAATTTATGATTCAATATGCCTAGAATGGAAAATAGAAAGCTGCGTGTTTGACAAGCACTGTAAGTAATCTCTGAAAATACCGCTGGCCGACAGTTACTATGCCTCCTCACTCTCTTTGCAGTTCAAACATTCTCTGTTTTTAATTTAAGGTCTTATCTCTAGCTCTCTTCACAAGACACAATATAGTGTAAAGAACTCAAAAACTGCATTCCCTCAAACCTATAATTAGAAGTTGAACATTCATTTGAGAAAGTAATTTCATAATGACCTCCCAGTCCCCCTCAGTACCTTCATGATACTTGACTGATAACCATTTTCTTAGGGCTTATATTTTTTTGTACATTAGAAAAATATGTTTTTATATAAATATCCTGAAGATAACTTTTTAAAATCAAGAGTCAACATAGTAGCTAAATGCCTGGACTTTGAAGGAAACACATCTAAGTTCAAATCCACTTACTATGTGACTCTGAGCAAGTTGAACACAGTAGTGAAAATGAATACTACAACTACACAAATCAACTGGAGTGAATCTCACAGGCACAATACTGAGTTTTAAAAAGCAAGTTGCAGAAGAACACACACACAGTGTAACACTACTTACATAAATTTAAAAGCAATACTCTCTACTGCCCAAGAATACACACAGATTTAATAAAAGTACAATACTGAAATGCCTGGCATTTATAATCACTACCTTCAGAAAGGCACTCACTCCTAGGCTGGGGCCTGGGGGAGGCCAGGTGATCAGGAGGGGTTAGTGAAGGAATTGAATTTCAACTGAACTAATACTAGCAATGTTTTGTTTCCTTAAGCTAGTGGTTGGGGAAATGGGTCGTCTTTACAACAGTCTTTATAATTTTATGTCATATTCAAATAATTTTTTCAGAGGAAATATAGTAATCATGAGGATTAGCATTTAAAACAGGAAACATGTTGATAAAATAATGTTAAGAAAAACATCAAAAGGCTACTATATTTTTTAAAAGACTAAGAGAAATGAAAAAGACTAGAGAAGAATCGTTTTAAATGATCATATTTAGGTCTATAGAAAAGTTATATTTTTTCTTCACTTTTTTATACCTCAAAATGCCTCTAATGTTAACACATTTGCAATTTTAAAATTACAGTTTTTTAATTAATCAGGCAAACCAAAATATAGATCACTGGCTCTCTAGCTAAAAAAAGTATTTTCAACTGTAGTCCATGTCCTAAGTAGGTATTCTATAAGGTGTAAAATATGTTTTATTCTAAAATAATAGGACATATGGGATTCTATATCTCCTTGGAAAACTACAGTACTCATAAGCAAATTAATGCCTCTGAGAAGTCTTACAGTAAGAAATCTATTATGTTTACTCCAAAGTCACCCAAAGTTATTTGACCATGGCATCCTTTTCTAAAGCATAACACCAGCATAACATAGGAGTTTATTAGATGCTATTCTAAGTCCTGCTTATAAATAAATAAATGGATATATATATATGAATGAAGCAGTTCCCCAGACTACCATTTATATCTATAGAAAAACAATCCATGATGTATATAAATAATTCAAATATTATAAGAAAAAAAAACATAATCAAGAAGTGAAATGGCCATTTATCTCCCTCATTTCCTTTATTTAAGCTAACACTAGGAACTGGGCCAGAGACTGTTCTACATGCAGTTTAAACAAGTAATAACTCACTGTCAGACACCTATGCTGAGTAGGATATCTCTGCTCTATAAGTCTATGAATCACAACATATTCAAAATATCAATAGTAATGTAACTATAAATCCTTTTAAGATACTTTATCTAGCTTATTTTTAAAGCTAATTGAATATTTTTCTAAAGCAAAAGCAAAAGGTAGAAAAAAATGTCCCTGTAGTTCTAAATGTATGTAGAAAGCATAAAGTATCAAATATTAAATATTCAAAATTATTTCTATAATTAACCATTATATATTTACAAATTTAACATTATTTGAGAATTAAAATTCGTGTTTTTAACTGTATTTTTAACAATATTTTGTAATACCTTTAATATTGGAAGAATTTTTGGGCCCTCGTTCAAAGTCCCAAGGAATTCACCAGTCCCTTTATTTAAAGATGCCTCTGAAAAGACAGGGAGAGAGAGAAGCAGAAAAAAAGAAGGAGTAAGAGGAGGAGGTGAAGGAGAAGATAGGAGAGAGGAAAAAACAAAGAGAAAAAAGGAAGGACCCGGAAAAAGAAAAGGAAGAAAGGAGAAAAATGAAAAGTGAATCATAATCATAAAAAAATTATGTGAAATTGATTATCTTTTTAATTACTCATGATTTTAGAAATGATGCAACATTTTAGAAGTTGACTGAATACCAAATTGTTTCTTCCACATAATTAATTTTATCTTTATATAAGTTAATATAAAAGCATCTTGCAATACAATAAACCAAATCAAGACTATTATCAACAAGATAAAATTATGGTAAAGAAATTGGTCTTCCTTCCATAAAGTCCATTTAAGAGCATTCAGAAAATAACAATGTAGAAGCCTTATGAATTTAGGCAAATATCAGAAAACAATGGTTTGAATTAGAGAACTATAAATTATAAATATTTATATGACAATGCTAGTTTGCTATTTTAAAATGTATGCAATAATTTAAACTAAACAATGTATTACTTAATAAATAGCCTAATAAACATTTTGAAGTAGATTGTCATAATTAATATCAAGAATGATTTGTACTTTGTTTTAGGTGCCAATACAGTGATGAGAATAACATTGTTGAAAAAGTTATAAGAATTTAAGTATCTAAATGGGGATAACCCCTCATTATATAGAAGTTTTCAAAATTATAAGTGGATTGTGCTCAAATATTGATTAGTTCTTTAGAAATCAAATATTTAAACAAAAAAATCAATACAATATATTGTATTTAGCCCATTCATAATTAAGCAAAGTTTTAAATGCAACAAAATAACAGTCTCCCAAAAGTAATCGGTAAACAAAACAATAAAATTGAGTAAGAAAAGGACTTTTTTAGAAAACTACTCATTGGGCCCTTTGCGTCCAGTAACAGGTAATCTGGAAAAACTCTCCTGGCTAGAGACAACTAGAAAAACTGGAAAATACAGTTTTGTTTCATCTGTTAGACAAACAAATTAATGAAAAATCAATTCAGGGCAAGATCTCTGGGGAGGGAGCATCGCCTGTCTCTTGGGAAGAGAGCCCAGGGAGCACAGAATTGCCTTAGAGATACTCGTCCAGCTGGAGACGTCCATCAGTTCTGGAGAGGGAAGCGAAGAAGCTGAGTGGTGTTCTTGACAGCCTTGATGGGCTAAGGCAAGAAGGATTAGTATCCAGGACCCACCAAGGATGAGAAGCCAGAAGGGGCTACATCCTAAGGGTTAGAGTAAACCGAAAATAGGTCTTCAAAGAGAGAGTATCTCAGCTTCAAATTATCTTGATCTCTCAAACTGGAATTATGGGATTCTGGAGTAGTAGTGCCTTTGTGCTTCTAGGAGAAGTAAGTATAAATCTTTGGAAGGAGATAACATCATCTAAGTTCTCAAATTATTTCTATAAAATATTTAGCAAATTTAATGTCTACCACACAATCAAAAATAACCAAAGTAACCAAATATCTAATGAAGTTCTTCATTGAACAAATTCAATATAATAAATGCAGAAGGAATGATAGACGTGTGAAGCCCCTGCTGGCTTCTCATCCCCACTCCCTCTGGTAGCCTTCAACCAATGACATATAAAAACTGTACAAGTACCCTAACCTCCCAGCTCTCTGAGGCATGTTCTATAAAATCTCCTAAGGGTCCCTCATGGGAACAAGCCCTAGACTTACCTAGCCTTCTCATTAACTTACTGTATTTCATACTGTCTTCCTTCCTCTGTCTTACTTCTCCACTCCACCACCATGCTTCTTCCCTGGATAATACCCCAAGTAAACTACTCAATTCCTTGTCTCAGAATCTACTCCTGGGGAAATCAACCTAGGGAAAAGGTCAGGCTGACAACAGCTGAACTCACTGATAAATCTTTACATCACAAAAAGGGGGACAACCAGCCATTATATGCCTACTCATTCAGTGCAATAGGGATAAACAGCACCACCTATGAACTATCTTGCCAAAAAAAAAGAAAAAAAGGTATTGGCAAGAATTTTTGTTGACAAGATATTACTTGAACCTAAGCAAGCCTCTAGAGTCTAGACCTAACTACCAGGTAGAGAAACAAGTTAATTGACACCACAAGGACGCAAATAGCCAAATCCAGAATGTGGACAATCCTACGGGGTAATGCAATGACCCAATTTCTTCAAAAAATAAATGGCTTGTAAAAGGAGTGAGGACAGGAGGAATGGTTATAGATTAGAAAAGAAAAAAAAAAAAAAAAGATTGAACAGATGTATAGGAAAATAAAATATGTGGGCTTGTTTGGATTCTGATTGGAACAAACCAGGAACATAGGAATTTTTACAAATCATGTCGGGTCAATAATAATAGCTTTGTGATTTTATGAGAAAAATGTTAGACCAACACAGATACAAACACACATCCACACACACACAATGAGGTATTTGCTGGTGAAATGATGTCTGCTTTAAAATACTTCAGAAAAAAAAGGAAGTGTTGCAGGAGGAGATGAAATAAAATAACATTGACAAGATGTTGATAATTATCAGTACTGAATGATACAAACATGGTGATTTATTTCATCTCTCTACTTTATAATTGAAAGTCTGCATAATAAAAGTTTTTAAAAAGGAAAAAGTATTTAAAGTCAGGACATTTCAAAGAATATGATTTCAGGCCATCGATTGTGTTAAATAGCCAGACACCCCTCACCAGTGGTTCACAAACTGTAATGCATATGAAAATCACCTGGTAGCTCATACAGACTAGAGAGGTCCGGGCTAGCTGAAGTGGAACAGCACCTAGGCTTCATAGTTGTTACAAGTTTCCAGGTGATAATGATACCTATCACAGTCTGAGAATCCCAGCTCTGAAACCCCATCTGCAAAGCCACGCTCAGCAGCACAGGACAGGCAGAGCTGGGAACGTGTGGTGGGTGCCAAGAATACAAGGGTGACTAAAACATGATCTGGTCAAGAAATATACACTCTATCAGGAAATGGAAGAGGAGAAGGTACAAAGGGAATAAAAGGAGAAGAGAGTAGAAAAGAGGAAGAATAAGGAAGGGGTGAGTAGGTGGAGATGAGGAACAGTGAAGGGAAATAAAATATAAATGGTGAAGGAAATATATAGTTTCATCAGCCATTGATTCATACAGCATATAACCTTTATTAAACACCCACTTGGTTAAAGCTATATTATTTCTATTCCTGATTATAAATCATTGATGAAGCACAAGTTTGAAATGCCTAGTTTCCATTAACAAAAGTTATCCTGTATTCCAATTTATACTTACATATCATATGTGTATATATATACATAAATATATAATCTCATCCTTTTTATTCAATAATTTACCTAGAGATTTCTTAAATTTTCTACCCGGGTTTCCTAAAGTCTCCAATATTTCACTCAGTCGTAATGTGATCTCTGCCACCAAGACAATGTTAATGTCTTGCATTCCATAGCAGTGAATTACTTCATTTATCTGCCACAGAAGATAAATCCACTAAAAGGAGAAAATATACAGCAAAATCAAATTTAAATATATTATGTTGTACAGTCACACTGTTCAAAACTTAGTACTTTCTTGAAATCACCATCTAATTATAAGATAATGTTATACAAGTAACCCCTCCTTAGTATTGCATCTTAATTATAATACAAAGTTCAATTATCCTAACAAGATTATTTCTTATCATCAATGTGTTTATGTAAATGTATAAAGAAGATTCGCTTAAGCTTATAGACTGCATATCTATAGCTATAATGGAAATTTTATGTTATTTTTATTTGGCAGTGAAGATAATCCTCAAAATTCTCATTCCCCTTCCTAAAAGGAGCTGCTACATTCACTGTCAAAATAGTGAGGGGGGAAGCAGGTGTTTCAGGTTCCACGCTAGGTGCCTTGAACACTGTCTTTGATGCCTATATCTGCAAAACTCAGCACAAAATAAGCCATCACACTTTGGGAGCTAAGACAAGAAAATAATATTTATACACCCACACCATTACTTCATCAGAGTACTTGATAAAATCATGTCTATGCATCCTAACATAGCTAATCTTAGGAGGCTGTGTTATTGCTAAAATATTTTCTAAGTGTCCGGATTATAATATTCACCTGCTCAACTTTTTCCTTCCCATGAGATAGCTCTTTATTTAGTCTAAATATACTATGGCAGAAGAAAAAATACAACTCCTTACTTATTTGTTATTGTCTAACATTAACCTTCTCAATAAATGTATCCAAGCTCATTTGACCTTAGATACATTATACTTATTTCTCCCTTAAAAATCTGAAACACCTCACCCTGGCCAGTTTGGCTCAGCGGTTAGAGCATTGGCCTGCGGTCCGGAGAGACCCGGGTTCGGTTCCCGCTAAGGGCACGTACCTCGGTTGCAGTTTGTCCCCGGCCCTGGTTGGTCATGCGGGTGGCAGCCACTCGATGTGTCCCTTCACGTCGATGTTTCTCTCTCTCTCTACCTTCCTCTCTCTCCCTCCCACTCTATCTGTACAAAAAAATGGAAAAATGTCCTCAGGTGAGGATAAAAAAAAAAAAAAAAATCTGAAACACCTCCCCACTCACCAAAACTAAATAGATCAGAACTAAAGGAATACACTTAAAAGAAAAGTTTACTCAGCAATACAGTTTTAAAAATGGTATTTTTGCAGGTGGATAAATAGGGACAATTTAAATATCACAATTTAAATTAGCAATAACAAAAACCATGTGAAAGGGGGAAGAAAAAGAATACTTTGTTATTATTGATTATCCGGGTGAATTTTGCATAACTATTTTTGAACATGCTGAGCTGCTGCAGTCCTGATTTGCATTTCTGCCAAAGGAACATTATTATGTCCACCACGATTTCTTTATCAGGTTGAACATTCTGAAAATAAAAATGGTAAAACAAATTGTTAAGAATAATAAGATTACATATAGATGACATTTAATGCAGTGAAATCCAAACTCTTAATATGACCTCATTGGGAGGGGGGGCCTTTAGGAGGTAATGAGGCATGAGGGTGAGCCCCTCATGAAGGGGAATAGTGCCCTTTCACAAAAGGGACTCTCAGAGTCTCTCACTCTTTTCACCAAGTGAGGACACAGAGAGAAGATGGCCATCTATGAACCAGAAGGTGAGTCCTCACCAGACACGAAATCTGCCAGTGCCTTAATCTTGTATTTCTCAGGGTCCATAATTGTAAAAAATAAATGTTTGTGGTTTAAGCCATCCAGTCTATGGCATTTTTGTTATAGCAGCCTGAACAGGCTAAGACATATACCAAATCATTTAATCCTCATAACAACCTATGAAGTGACTACTAGTTCATTACTCCCACTTCACTATCATCCCCACTGGACAGATGAGCAAGCTGAAGCACAAGAAAATTAACTGTATACCCCAAGATGAAATGAATAGAAAGTAACATCTCTGGGATCCAAACCCATGCAGTCTAGCTCCAGAGACCTCAGCCTTAATGAACGCTCTAGACTACTTTTGTCTCTCTAAAAAGAAGTCTCAAATATTTTTAGGCAAGTATGTAAACCAAATTTGAAATGTTTATATACATCTTTCTTTTAAAAATCCCTATATTACAATAATAAAGAAGGGGGGTGAACTAGTAAGAGGAGAGGGGATGGAAGCGGGAAAGGAAACAGAGCAGGGAAGAGTCATGAAAAAATTAATCAGTGTCACACTGGCTATCGATAGATGATCCAGAATAAGTACATCACCCTGTCATATCAGTTACTTGACTTTTTTCAAAGAAATATGAAGTTACTTATTATATCTGAATAAGAAAGATAATAAGTTTATGATTAAACTTATGTTTCTTTCAAAAACATACGAAACTGAGCTCCTTTGGGGCAGCTCTAAGATTAATTTGTATATATAACAGCTTAGTGCAGTTTAGAAACATAACAGAGATCAATATATGTTTATTGAATAGAACTGAACCAAAATGTGTATATTTTTAAAAGAAGGTCTGAGAGGGGAGCAGGGTGGGGCGGGGGAGGGGAGGAGTAAGAGAGTAAACAAAGAACATATTCGCATATATGCACAGCCCATGGACACAGCGGGAAGTGTGGTGAAGGCCTGGGGTAGGTAGGGGCTGAGTGGAGGGAGAAATGGAGGGAAAATAGAGGACATCTGTAATACTGTCAACAATATAGGTAGCCTAAAAATGTCCCAAAAAGAAACAGATTGATACCCAAAATGATGAAATAATAAAACAAAACTTAAATTTACACGTCAGGATAAAACTCAATCTCTTATTATAAAGATCAAAAAATACAGAATTTTGGAAAGGTCCAATTCTTATGATATTTTAAATCTGACTTTAAATTAGATATAATAGCTTCCTTTGATACTATTAAAAAAATTATCCAAATAGCAATTTCACCTGGGAAGAGGTACAGACACAGGAATACAAGGTTGCTGCTAAATGGAAAATATCTTCTGAATATCCAGTGGTCTTCATACCAATATCTCAATTCATAAGGTAAAGGAAAATAAAACAAAAAATCAATTACAAAATTTCAAGTAGAAAAAGCACAGAAACAAAGAAGTTCTACAAAAATGACAGAAATGATATCTGGGCAAATATTATGTCAATAAGACACTTCAGATGCTCCTATATAAAACTAATCAAAGTGGGCTCTAAGTCAGTTATCACGAATCTATGATCTGTATGTCGACTACGTCCAAAATGGAAATGAAGAGGAGTTTAATATTAAAACACATATAAAATATGTCTGTTGAAATAAAAATAACAAAAATATACATTCAGAAACCACTAGGAAAAAAAAAAGTACCACTAATTGGTACAAACTATTTACTATAATTGAGCAGCCATACAATGCCTTAAGAACATAATAAACTATTAAAAATGAGATTAAATATTTATCATTGGTCTAAAAACATAGAGGCTACAGATTTTCAATTATATAAACAATAACTTTTAAAACTTAAAAAGTACTAAAATTAAAACACTGGCCCGGCTCATGGTTGAGCATCAACCCATGCACTAAGAGGTTGCTGGTTCGATTCCCGGTCAGGGCATATGCCCAAGATGTGGGTCAAATCCCCAGTGAGGGGTGGGGAGCATGCAGAAGGTGGCCAATCAATGTTCTCTCTCATCGATGTTTCTATCTCTCTCTCCCTCTCCCTTCCTCTCTCTATAAAAATCAGTAAAGAAAAAAAATGTTTTAAAAAAAACACTGCATGCATACTTCCCTTACCAAACAAATAGCTTTTGATTTACTGCCCCACTGGTCTCTCACCTACCAACAAGGCAACAGCTTAGTAGAATCTCTTTCTGCTATTCAAAACTACCACTCAGAATAAAAATCCATCATCCTTACAAGGCCTAGGATCCTGCAAGATCTGGCACCCCGCTATTTCTCTGACCTCATCTCCTCCACATTCTCGAATCCCATAACCACCATCAATGCACTCCAGGCATACATGCCTCTTTGCTATTCCTTCAACAACCAAGCACACTAGCACCTCAGGACCTTTGTACTTCCTGCTCCCGCTGCCTTGAACATTCTCTCACCTCACCTATAAAGAGTATGTTTTATTAGATAAAATTATTTTAATTTTTCAAAAAGGCAAATAAATACTCACCATTGAAAGCGAGTTTTTTAATGTAAGAAGCTGACTGTCCTTCTTTGTAGTTTTCCAAAGGAAAGACCAAGCCTTTGTTCCTCTTTACATTGATTAGAGGTTCCATTGCAATAAGAAGAGTTAAATCCTTCTCTGCTTTCTTTGACTCTGGATCATCCTGTGTCTAAAAGACATATATCCCACAAGGTAATTAGTAATTCAATGTCATCTTAACAATATAAAAACTAATGATTAATGATTTTGCAAATATTACCTGGAGAAAATTAATAAGCTGTCCAGCTGCAGATTCAAATAAACTCCATTCCTCATAGGTAAAAGCTAATTTTATAAATTTCACAGCAGTATCCATAGAAATAACATTTTTTCTTTCTATAATAAGCTGCAGAAGAGATGTTGTTGGAAAACCAAGCATTCCACCTACACCAGTACTTGACACTAGGAAAGGAAAGAGAGAGGTCTGAATGTCATTCATGCAAAAAGTATTTACTAAATATTAACTATAAGACACTGCCAGGCACTAGGGAAACAATGGAAAGAAACACACTCCAGGCCTTCACTGAGTTTATACTCTAGTGGGGGAACAAGGAATCTTAGTGGGCAAATTGGGGACAAATTAGAAGGGTATCGAACACAAGGCTTAGAGTACAAGAGCAGTCAGGGAAGGCTACTCATAGGATGTCAAATATAAAGAATTAGCAATAGTTAACTAGTCAAATAGGCTAGATGTTACAGATTGAAAGCGTGGAAGAGACCTAAAAAAAAAATATAGCTCTTATAGACATCATCATTTAGCCACAGTAAATGATAGGAGCAGCCATGGACAATGTACAGCTGCCTAGGACAGAACAGAAAGGGACACCAACCTGTAAGAAAAGGGCAGAGGGAGAAAAGGCAGCAAAGAAAAATGTCTAGAGAGAAAGGAGTAGTCAACAGCAACAAACACTAAAGGGGAAACAAAGCACTGAAAAGTGATTCTTGCATTGAGCAATAAGGTGGTCACAGCATTAGTAGAATGCTGGCGATTGAAGACCACTTACATACAAGTAGGAACAAAAAATTGGGGACAGTGAAAATAGACAATTCCTTCAATAAATCGAACTATAACAAGAGGAAGAAATACAGGGAGGGGATTGAAAGAAGACCTGAAGGGACAGTTTGGACAGATTAGGTTTAAAGACCCAAACAGGAAGAGGGAAAATATCCCATTTTGATTAGAGGCAGTGGAAAGTATGAGGCAGATGAAGGTAAATGTTCATGTTTGGGTGAAGGAAGTCAAGGGGATTGTCATCTGAGATCTTGTATTTTCCTTGTGAAGATGAGCCCAAACTGTGGCATAGAGGCTCCCGCCCTCACATGGACATGTGCACACAAGTACACACACATATCCTAAGCTCACTTAGAACTACACAAGCTAAGGTCAGGGCCTTAGTGTCCCCCCCTCCTTCCAGGTGGACATTATCACCAAATCAGCTGTTCCAAAGCAGCAGAGGGTAAGCTCACGAACAAAGAAAATTTAAAGCACAAATGCCTTAAACAAAAGACCACAGATGGCAACCTCCCTTACCAGGGGGAGCATAAAAATGGAACACAGTGAACAACAACTTAAGCTTAATAAGTATTCTTTCAAGGAAATAAGAGAATATTAGAAACATGAATCAAGAATAAACTGCTTCAAGAAGTCAAATGGATACTTGGTATAAAGTATATTATTATGGAAACAAAGAATTCAATGGATGAATGGAATAGAACAGTGAGTGACATAGAAAATCAGACTGAGAAACCTTCTCAGAAGGTAATATAAAAGAATAAAGAGATAAAAATGATAAAATAAATAAGATATGGAGAGTGGATGTGTTAACATTTGTCTATTAGGACCCTTGAAGAATTAAAAAAAGTAAACATAACAAAAGAATGAAGAAGTAACATGAAAAATTAAAGATGTGATACCTCCTGTATTACTAAACCCAACCCTAGAACCAGTATAATGAAATATAAGAACATAATAGGAAAAAGAAAATTTTAAAGCTAAATTTATAAAATAACAAGATTTAAACACACAGATTTCTCAACTCCATATATAAGACTATGGAGAAATACCTTTAAATTTTTTTTTAAGGAACAAACTTTTAAGCAAAATATCATACTCAGAAAACCTATTTCAAAGTTCTTAGAGTTTGTATTTGAGCAAAAAGAAAGTAATTTATAAAGAAGCAGATGAGTGGATTAAAAGCTGTGGTACATTTACACAGTGAAATACTACACGGCTATATAAAAACAAAAAAGGAGCCCTGGCCAGTTTGGCTCAGCGGTTAGAGCGTCGGCCTGCGGTCCGGAGAGACCCGGGTTCGGTTCCCGCTAAGGGCACGTACTTCGGTTGCAGTTTGTCCCCGGCCCTGGTTGGTCGTGCGGGTGGCAGCCACTCGATGTGTCCCTTCACATCGATGTTTCTCTCTCTCTCTCTTCCTCTCTCTCTCCCTCCCGCTCTATCTGAACAAAAAATGGAAAAATGTCCTCGGGTGAGGATAAAAAAAAATAAAAACAAAAAAGGAGAAAGAGGAAATTTTATCCTTTGCAACAGCACAGATAGACCTGGAGAGTATTATGATAACCGAAATAAGCCTCAGAAAAACAAATACCATATGATTTCACTAATATGTGGAATCTAATGAAAAAAATAAACTGATGAATAAAATGGAACCAGAAGCATGGACACATGGAACAGACAGACAGATGTCAGAGGGGAGAGGGTTGAGGGGGGACAAGATAAAGGAAGGTGAAGGGATTAGTTAAAGAATATATATGCCTATCCCATGGACACAGACAATAGTGTAGTGAAGGCCAAAAGAGAGAGAACACAGGGGTAGGTGGAGGTGAGCAAAAGATGCAGAATGGGGGAAGTCTGCAATAATGTCAATGTTAAAAATTTCAATTAAAATAATTAGTCAAAAGACAAAGAACCCAATTAAAAAATGGGCAGAGGAGCTGAATAGACACCGCTCCAAACAGGACATACAAATGGCCAAGAGACATATGAAGAAATGCTCAACATCACTAATCATCAGAGACATGCAAATTAAAACAACAATGAGGTATCACCTCACACCTGTCAGAATGGCCGCCATCAACAAATCATCAAACAACAAGTGTTGGCGAGGGTGTGGAGAAAAGGGGACTCTAGTGCACTGCTGGTGGGAATGCAAACTGGTGCAGCCACTGTGGAAAACAATATGGTGTTACCTCAAAAAATTAAAAATTGAACTTCCATTTGACCCAGTGATCCCACTTCTAGGAATATACCCTAAGAAGCCTGAAACACCAATCAGGAAGAATATATGTACCCCCATGTTCATAGCAGCACTATTTACAATAGCTAAGATCTGGAAATAGCCCAAGTGTCCATCAGTAGACGAATGGATAAAAAAGCTGTGGTACATATACACTTGGAGTACTATGCAGCGGTAAGAAAGATCTCTTATCCTTTGAGACGACATGGAGGGACCTGGAAAGTATTACCCTAAGTGAAATAAGCCAAGCAGAAAAAGACAAATACCACATGATCTCACTTATATACGGAATATAATGAACATAACAGTCTGAGGAATACAGTAGACCCAGAAACATGGAAGTAGGGCACAGACTGACATCCCTCAGAAGAGGGGGTGGGGGTGGGGTGGGAAGAGATAAACCACAGAACTTATATGCATGTATGCATGATCAATGGACTTGGACAACTAAGCCGGGGACGGGGCAGGGTGAGGGTGGGGAGGGGGGTGCCAATGGGGTAAAAAAGGTAAAATATCTGTAACAAAAAAATAAATAAAAATTGTTAAAATAAATAAATAAATAAATAAATAAAATAAAATAAAATAATTAGTCAATTAAAAAATAATTTGGATGGTAGATTATATCGTCACCCAAGCTATCACCATTAAAGGCATTGGAGGGGCGAGGGGAAGAAGCAGTTAAAAATTAGAAGTAAGGATGAGGGGAAAAAAAAACCTTAATATACTTGCTATCTTAATAAGCAATGACCAGGACTTGTATCTAAAACATACAAAGAACTCTCAAAACTCAACAGAAAAAATAAACTAACAATCCAATTTGAAAATGGGCAAAAGACGCTAAAGAGGAAGACGATGTAAAGATGGCAAATGAAAAAATAAGCATGTGAAGAGATGTTCAGCACTGGCCGTCAGGGAAAAGCAAACCAAAGCCACAATGAAATATCACTACACACCTCTCAGAATGGCTAAAAAATAGTGATGGCACCAATACTGTCAAAGATGTTACGAAACTGGATCGTTCATAGATTGCTGGCAGGAATGTCAAATGGTTTGATTACCCCAGAAAACAGTATAGCAGTTACTTACAAAACTAAACATGTGCTTAGCATGCAACCCAACAATTGTACTCTTGAGAATTTATCCCAGAGAAATGAAAACTCATGTTCACACAAAGACCTGTACTCAAACATTCATAGCAGCTTTATTCCTAATAACCAAAAACTGGAAACAACTCAAATGTACTTCAAGTGAACAGCCAAACAAACTATGATATATGGACTACTATTCTGCAGTACTAAGAAGTGAATTATTAATACACACAATAACTTGGATACAACTCAAGGGAATTATGTTGAATGAAAAACAGACATACAGTCACCCAGTTTATGACAAAGGGATATTATAGTCAATGGGGAAAGAAGGGTCTCTTTATTAAATGGTGCTGTGTCAACTGGACATTATATAGAAATAAATCTTGATTCGTTTTTCATACCAATGGAAAAGATCTAATTTTAGACCTAATATGAAAGTTAAAATTAAGTTTCTAGAAGAAAACATAGAAATATATCTTTACGACATTGAGATAGCAGAGATTTCTTTTTTTCTTTTTTTTTTTTTTTATCCTCACCCGAGGACATTTTCCCATTTTTTGTTCAGATAGAGTGGGGAGGGAGAGAGAGAGAGAGAGAGAAACATCAGTGTGAAAGGGACACATTGAGTGGTTGCCACCCGCACGACCCAAACAGGGCCAGAGACAAACTGCAACCGAGGTACATGCCCCTAGCGGGAACTGAACCCGGGTCTCTCTGGACCACAGGCTGATGCTATACCACTGAGCCAAACTGGCCAGTGCGAGATTTCTTAAATATGACACAAAAATGGTTAACTATAAAAGATATATTGATAAATTGGACTACCTTAAAATTAAGAATTCCTGTTCCATTTAGACACTAAGTAAAAAAGTGAACCAGAAAACAAAGAACAAATAAGCAAACCTGAACTTAGCTCTCTGGGCTTCAACTCTGGGTGCAGGAGAAAAAAACTATTCATAAAGAATCTATATTCATAAATCATAGATTTGAGATTCAACTTCATAACAGACTGTGTGCAATTTCAATATAAAGCATAGAGAGATATCTCTATGCTTTTATGTTCATATCTACCAGACTGGCAAAGTTTTAAAGTGAGAATACCAAGTATTGGACAAAATAAGGAACAATGGAAACTCATTTACTGCTCTTGAACATCCAACTTCTGAAAGCAATTTTACATTATCTGGTAAAGTCATAGGTATATATCCTATACAATATTGATTTAATTCCACTACCCCCTGAACCTATGTTCCCTTCACAATCTTACCATATATTATAAAGATCAAACCAGGACTGGATTCCTACTTACCCAGGTCCTGTATCCAGGCTGTAGGTTTTTCAGACCAAGAATTATATTCTATTCACAATTATACTTACAGAACCTAAGAGACCACCAGACATAAAGAAGATACTCAATAGACATTTGTTGAACGAATGAATAAATTTTGAAAACAAAACAAATTCCTGTTCTTTAACAGCAACAATTAAGAGAATGAAAAGGCAAGCCACCAAATGGGAAAATAAATGTCAAATACATGTATTCAATAAAAGACTTGTATTCAGAATCTATAAAGAATTCCTAAAACCAATAAGAAAAAAAGCAAAGAGCCCAATAGAAAAATGGGGGAAAGACTTTGTTGGTTTGCAAATTGAGCCCAGTAAACAGAGATCAACGAGAGATCAAAGAAAGAGGCAGACCTCCAGATGGGTAGGTGACAGTTTTAAAAAGCAAAGAAACTTACATATGAGTCTTGTCTTAGGCGGCCACAAGACAAGAAGATTGTCACACCCACCACCAAAAGTTTATATAGAGGCCTTAACTGGGGTCAGTCACATATACTGTCCAGAGAATCTCAACAACACCTTAGTCTCTCAAAGCTGTATCTTCAAAATGGCTGCTATGGGAATAATAGACAGGACATACATTCCAAGGACAGGGTAGGGGGTTAACAGAAGACTCCTATTGCCTGAGTCAGGTCACAGGTCAGCCAGTAGTCATGTCTTCTCAGTGACCTCCAACAGATCTGAACAGGCACTTCACAACACAGGATATCCAACGGGGAAAGAAATGTATGAAAAAGTGCTCAACTTCAGCAGTCATCAGAACAATGCAAATTTATTCTATATTAGAATATTACTGAATTCACATGAGAATGGACAAAATAAAAAAGATATAATCAGAATCTGAAGCAATTAAAATGCTCATAAAATGCTGAGGAGAATGTAAAATTGGTAAAATATCACTTTGAGAAACATTATCTGCTGCAGTAAAACATACACATACCCTAAGTTGTACCAAAATTCCACACCATAACAGATGATGTTAATTTATCTCTCTTAGAAATTTACAAAACAAGCAGCTAAAAAAAAATCAGTAGAAGTAGATTTAAATACATTATTTGCAAACTTAACCTAATATATATAAAGCAATGCACTCAACAACAAAGAATACGTAATCTTTTCAAGTACACACAATTTACCAAAACTGACCACAAGTTAGACCATAAAGTACATCTCAACACATGTCAATGAGTTCAAATAATACAGAACACACTCCTCTGACCACTGAATAATTAAGCTAGAAATCAATGGTTAAAAAAATTAGAAAGTCTCCATATGTCTTGACTCATGACTCATATATCACAGAAGAAATCACAATGGGGATTAAAGGTATGATAGATCAAAATTTCAGGTACATAGCTACAGCTGCATTTAGAGAGTAATGTCTTAAAAAGCAAATATTTACTAAGGATAAATCCTGAAAATCAATTATGTAAGCTTCCAAATCAATAAAACTTTTTAAAATCAGCAAAATAAAGCCAAGAAAGTAAAGAAAATAATAAAGAACACAAATTAATAATATGAAAAACAAATATACAATAGAAATGATAAACAAATTCAAATATTATTCTTTGAAAAGACTAATAAAATAGGTAGATTCCTGGTACAGCTGATAAAATGAAAGAAAAGGCAAAATGACCACTATTAGGAATGAAAAAGGGGACCCCACTACACTACAGTTCTTACAAATGTTACAAAGATCATAACTAGATATTAAAATTTTAATTAAAATTTGAAACTATTAGATAAAATAAAAAACTTTCAAGGAAAATACAATATACTAAACTGATATAAGATTTTTTTAAATGAAAAAAAGTCTAAATCATTTTATATCTATGAAAGAAATTTAATCCATAGTTAAAAATCTTTCCACAAAGGAAATTCCAGGTCCAAATGGCTTAACATTTGGTAAAGTCTACCAAACATTTAGAAAGAAGTAACACCAGTCTGACACCAACTCTTCCAAATAATAGAGAAAGAGGGCATACATCTCACTTCTCTTTATGAGGCCAATATGACCTTGATAGTAAAAACTAAAAAGGACTTTACAAGAAAGGAAAATCTCTCTCATGAATAGAGAGGCAGAAATATTAAACATTAGCAAAAAAAAAAAAAAAATCAAGCAATATATCAGAAGGATTATCCTCACCTCAACATTAGGTTTATTCCAAAAATATAGGGTGGCTAAAAGTTAGATAAGCAGTATCGGTATAATTCACCACATTCACAAATATAAAAGAGAAAAGCCATCTGATCAATTCAATAAATTTCATTAGGTCCAGAAAAGGCTTTTGATAAAAAGTCAACAACTATTCAGGGTTAAAAAGAAACAAAACTCTTAGCAAACCAAGAATAAAACCAAACTCCTTAGTCTTAAAAGGGTATCTTTAAAAAATCCTTTAGCAAATATCAAAATTAGTGGTAAATGTTGAAAGTTTTCCATTAGAGATTATACATAAGACAGGATATCTGCTATTACCACTTTCATTCCACGTTTTATTGGAGATCCTATCCAGTGCAATAAGTCAAGAAATGTAAGAAAAAGAAACAAAAATTTTAAGAATTAGAAAGAAATATAATTGTCATTATTCACAGATGATTGTATATATAAAAAAAATCCAGAAGAAAATCTACTAATCAATTATTTGAACTACCAGTTGAGTTTAGCAAGTTTGCTGAATTCAAGATCAGTCAAAATAAGGTGTGGACTACCACGCTAAAAACTTCTCTTACTCCTGTTCTATAATAAAATATTATCTTAACAACTTACTTATTAAAAGTTCTCTTCCTGCTATGAACAGTTCTGAGACAACATCACGAATTTCTATTTCGTCTGTAGCAATAGGTCCAGTTTGCAGTGTTCGTCTATTTGAATCCGAAAGAGCTTCCAAGACAGCCAAAAACCGGGATGCAGTGCTATCAAACATCTCATCCAACAACCGTTCTGTGATGGTACGTGGCCATGGCAACTGTAATTTTAAAAAGCAAATATATATATATACATATACATAAATCCATTTTTTAAAAGTTCTATAATGTCTGATATTACTAGGCAAAGATAAGTAAGGCATGGTTAATTAATGCTAAAAGAGAAAGTGGTTAGCCTATCAATGAGATGGTTGTTTTTATGCTTTTCATTTTTTGAGCTGTTATTCCACACTCCATTAAGGTTTATGTCATGTTGCCAATACATCAAAGATTTTGTGATTTATTTATGTTTGCTTTTCCAAGGCAGCATAAAAAGTCTGTTTATTACTATCTTTTTATTAGGGCAGCATCAATCTCCATATGCTTTGTGGTTCCTTAAAACAGCCTTTAGGAACAGATACTCAAACTTTGGTTGCCTAAGAATCTCTCAGGAGTACTTTAGATTCACAGACCATATCTCCAGAGATTTAGTGGGCCTGTATGGACATTTTTAAAAAGCACTACAAGAAATTCTGATGCAGGGTCCTCAAACCCAAATTTGAAACAATATTTCATAGCATAAATAACTGGTCTTATGTTAGTTAACTCTAAATAAAAGTTGATCAGCTATATATTAATAAGCTAGAGATGCCCAGCCAGTGTGGCTCGGTGGATTGAGTCTCTTCCCATGGACTGAGAGGTCCTGGTTCAGTTCCCGGTCAGGGCACATGCCTGGGTTGCAGGCTCAACAGCTAATAGGGGGCGTGCAGGAGGCAGCCAATCGATGTTTCTATCTCTCTCTCCTTTTTTCTCTAAAAAATAAATAAAAACATACTTTAACAAATAAATAAATAAGCTAGTGACTGTTAGAGCCCTGCGTGAACTCCCAGCCACTCTGCTTTGTGTCAGCCCAGAATGATTCCTCTTCCTGCAGATGGCTTGCCTCCATGACTTATTCTGACAAATTACCTGTTCTCTGTATTTAGATTACCAGAAAATAAAGGCAGCTCTAGTTGGCTTTCCTAGAATCCATGTCCAGTTAGAACATACCCGTCATATTCCCCGTCATTCCTTTGCTATTTTCCTTTTCCTAGGGGCAAAGTCGGAAAGATAGAAAAAACAAAAGCAGGGATAAAACCCAAACAGATTACAGTTTACCTTGTTTTTTAAAATATCATAGGATAACTAGCAAAAAAAAAAAAAACAATATCAGAGCAATAGATGAATACCAAGTAAGGAATTTAAAACCATAAACATTTTAAAGATCTAAAAAAAGGATTTAAAGTCAAAATAATAAAAAACGGACTGTCAAGCATGACAAGCAAAATATTAATGTCTATAAAAGCAATGAGTCCATCAAAATATATTTTAAAAATTAAAATCTCTAGTAGAAATATAAGATTATCTCTCAAAGACTAAAAGATAATTCACGTCAAAAAGAAAAACAGAGCAAACACAAATATAAGGGAAAATAAAATCTCAAAAATAAAGTTAAAAAAAGCCATTTTATTAAAACTGAATTATAAAAAAATAAAGAAATGATAATTGCTTGTGGCAAAATTGGTGCATGCAGGCTGTCATTTTGGTGTTTTTTGTTTTTTTTTATCCTCACCCAAGGACATTTTTCCATTTTTTGTACAGATAGAGTGGGAGGGAGAGAGAGGAAGAGAGAGAGAGAGAAACATCGACGTGAAGGGACACATCGAGTGGCTGCCACCCTCACGACCAACCAGGGTCGGGGACAAACTGCAACCGAAGTAGGTGCCCTTAGCGGGAACCGAACCCGGGTCTCTCCGGACCGCAGGCCGACGCTCTAACCGCTGAGCCAAACTGGCCAGGGCTGCAGGTTGTCATTTTGGAAATTAATTTGGCAATACATAGCAAGGGAAATAAAAGTGTATCCTTTGGTTCAAATCCTACACCATGAATTTTATCCTCAGGAAATGGAAGGAAGGAAGGAAGGAAGGAAGGAAGGAAGGAAGGAAGGAAGGAAGGAAGGAAGGAAGGAAGGAAGGATATATATATATATTTGAAGATGTTGATTATATCAATATTTATAATAGCAAAGAAACAAATAAAATAATAGTAATAAAAATACCAGACAAATCCTGGCACATATACTGCATAGGGTATATTAAATCATCTTTAAAAATCTAAGGATAGCCCAGCTGGTGTGGCTCAGTAGTTGAGCATCGACCCATGTACCAAGAGGTTGCTGGTAGATTCCTGGTCAGGGCACATGCCCAGGTTGTACGCTTGATCCCCAGTGGGGGGCATGCAGGAAATGGCCCATCAGTGTTCTCTCTCATTGATGTTTCTATCTCTCTCTCCCTCTCCCTTCCTCTCTCTCTAAAATCAATAAAGAAAAAAATTTTTTTTCAAATGTAAGGACAGAGGAGAAGCTGAATGATGCAACCATACAATCTGTTCCACTTCTAAGTACTATGATTTCCGTGACATTTACTCCATATGATGCCTTATGTTAATTCCCCAACACAACACACCAACCCGTCAAGCTCAGTTTCTCACTGTCCCCCAAGTAAATTTTGCTTACTCCTGCTCCCAAGTTATGATCATGTTCTGATCCTTTACTTAGACTGTTTTCCCCTTTTTTCCTGTCTGGTCAAATCCATTTCATTATTCCAAAGCCATTGAAAAAGATAGAACTGCAACTTAGTGTTTTCTATATTCCACCACACTTGAAGCAACAGTAAGTGTTCAGTATACGGCTATCAAATGAATGAATGAAAAATAAGTAATAGCAATAGCTAATATTAACTGAGGGTCTACTATGTGCCATGAACATTCTAAGGGTTTTACATGTAACTCATTTAATTACTAGCATTATTTCCTCCATAATACAACAAGCTACAATTATTTTATTTATTATGTAATTTCTCCACTAGAATGTAACCTCTATCTTATTCACATAGCAGGTACTTTAAAAATATTTATTGAATGAGTCACAAAAGAGTCAATCATTAGGTCCGGCCAGTGTGGGTCAGTGGTTGAGCATAGACCCATACACCAAGAGGTTGCCAGTTCGATTCCTGGTCAGGGCACATACCCAGTTTGTGGGCCAAATCCCCAGTGGGGGGCATGCAGGAGGCGGCCAATCGATGTTCTCTTTCATCAATGTTTCTGTCTCTCTCTCCTCTCACTTCCTCTCTCTCTAAAATCAATAAATGAAAAGATATTTTTTTAAAGAGTCAATCATTAGAAGTCTGAATCAGTAGTCCTTTAAAAGAATCCTTTGAAAGTCAAAATGATTTACTGTAAGTTACTAACTGGCTTACAATTTCAAAAATGTTTTATAAAATAAATGTAATGCATATTGAGATAACTTTCTTTTATAAGAAACAATACAATTATTTCATATACATAAAGCAGGACATTCTACAAACTATGTCAAGATAACATACTATGACTTTATAAAAAGGGTTATGTTGACTGTTCTCTGTAAAAACTATCCATTGAGCAATTATAATTTTTTCCTAAAAAGATATACTACCAGAACTTTCTATGTAATAATTCTCTTAAAGGAACCCAGAAATAAATTATCTTTTAATGTAATGTTACCTGAAATTTTAAATATTTTTCTTTGAAAATATATTTAATTTTTATACCAGGAAAATTATAAATCAAGTCCTAATAATATGCTAACTAATCTTGCAGCCTTGAATACCTAAATTTGGTTTGCTCAGAGAAAAAAAAAAATACTAGTGAAAAAAAAAAAAAAAGTGTCCCCTCCTCTCTTACAAACACCATAGCATTACTACTTTACATTATCAGATGCAGGCAGTTCAACAGCACATCCATGAAATTATCTATAATTTGGCAAGTTACCACCCCCACCAATTATATACCATTGGTTGGTAAGGGGTATGATTTTAAAAGGCAATATGAAATGTACTTCTGGGCTCAGTCATCAATATATTATAGTTACAACAAGTATCAATAGACAGTTACCTAGTCCAAATAATATCTGAATTTAAATATCGACATTAACAATTTTTTTAAAGGGAGAATTACTTCTAAATGTTATGAGAAGAATTGAGTTCAGAGACAAGCAGTCATTGTAGTAGTGAGAAAGCACTGGACTAGAGAGCTGGGTTCTGGTCCCAGCACTGCCAGCAGCTGCCTTTGTGACCTGGAGCCAGTAATTTACATACTCTGCGGGTTACTTTCCCCGTCTGTAATAGACAGGGACTGACCCACATGATTCCGAAAATCCCTTCTGGACCCTGAGATTCTACTCCTCTCTGTCAGAAACTGCTCCTTTTTTCCCCCTCACTTCTACTTTCAGTCACTATAAAGAGACTCACAGAAGAGTTTATGTCCACGGAAACAGTCATAGGATTCAAAAACATATAGAACTGGCCTTAAGGAATTCTGAGATTCAGAAAGGCAAAGGGGAAGACAGTGGGAGGAAGAAAAAGTCAGGAGGGAGAGAAGGCAGAGAACTCCACAGGCATGACTAGGTCCCAGGCCCCTCCTGGGGTAGCCCTGAGCGCTGTTTGCCAAATACCTTTGTGGCTGCAAGGGGCCGTGTGATGAGGCCTGACACGTGAAAAGCAGAGACTGCTGTCACTTCCAAGCTGGGCATTGCCTCCTGTGTGAAGTTCTCCAAAAGTTCTGCTGTATACTCTCCGACAGAATAACCAGCCATTTTCTAAATGAGGACTGCTCCTCAGTGTGGCCCTGAGCAGCAGTCATGAACAGAGCCCCCTGACAACTATAACTTGACTCCAACGGGAATTAAAGGATTGTTTTAAGCCACCAAGATATGGGAGTTGTTTGTTGCTACACTATGACCTAATTCCTAAACACTCCCAGAGGTAAAACTGAAGCATATATGAAAAAGTGCCTCCACCTCCTCTCCAGCCTCAAAGCCTTCTAACGCCAAGCAGTCAAAGACAAAGGCCCCCGCGGAACCACTCAGAGCCCTGTGCATTTGAACCTCTCCCAGCGTCTTCTTCAGCCTCTTGCCATTCAAAGTGACAAAACTGGGATTGTGCAAAGGTACAAAAGCTCTGAGAAAGGGGTGGAGTGAGGTCGTGTCCAAACTGGGAAGGCGTTCTTCTCTCTGCCATTGGTGCAAAGAACAAAGTGCAGGGTTTAATATTTAGTGACCAAGCTTCAAAAATACAGAGGTATGACACAAATATACCACGAAGAGGGTCTGAAAAAGAGAAGACATTCTCAGACTTACAGTTTGTATTTCCCTTAGGTTAATTCTTATCTTTGGTCTAAAGAAACTTTTGTTTTTTCTTCTAGATTCAAATACTCCTCTTTTGAAGATCATCACTGCCATCTGCATTAAAAAAAAAAGAATTATATAGGAAGTCACAGTGGGATGCAACTATTAATATGAAGTATTTCATCAACTATAAAGTGCAATAAATGTGTTTTATTTCATGAAACTCTGATACCTTTATCGTGGCCTCTCTATAATACTTTCGGGATGCTTCCGGTTGTGAGGAACTCATTAGTTCCAGCTGCCCTAAGTCATCAATCTTACCTAAAGCACGCCGAGCAAATGCCTATATCAAATTAAAATAAATTTAATATACAATTAGTAAGATTATAGTGATTAAAAATGTATCAAGACAGTGTGTTTTAGTCTCTCGGACATTTTATTTAATTGATGAATTAAGCTCCAGGCTGATGCTGACTCTCTGTAACACAGAAGCTATCCAGTCTATCATTTCCTACAAGCACCACTGAATTCTGCAGTTCTAAAGTTAATAAACTGTCAGATATGCTGACTTTATGAATTAAGAAATTTTAAAAATAAGGAACGTCAAATTCTGGTACTGATATTTTCAATACCTGCCTAATACAAAATAATATTGAATGTAAAAAACAAAACTGAACAAGGAAGGAAAGGAATTGCATACAAGAATACAATGAGGAAGGAAAGATACCAGAAATGTTCTTCAGAAGCACAGCAAAGAATATGGATATGAACAGAGAGTAAAGGAGAGGGAAGAAAGTAGAGCAAGAGATAACAGAATGAGAAGCCAAGTACATTTCTACAAATTAAGCCTGGGACTTTTGTCTTTGCTTTAGTGCAATTCTTTGGGTTTTGTTTGTTTATGTTTTTCTTGCCAGACATCTAAAGACAAAAATGCTGCATACGTTGTATCTTAAAATACTGAAACCCTCGGAAGTGGAAAGTAGCACACCTCCCCGTGGAGTCCAGCCTGGCAGTCATAGTAGCACTGGCACACAGCAGTGTAGAGAGTAGCTCTCCAAGTCAGGTACCTGACAGACAGGAGTGGGACCGAGGACTCCATACAGGTACTGGCCCACAGGAGATATTCTAAGGCCTGAAGAAGAAAGGGCACAATTGAATATATTTTCATGGTAAGCCAATAATTGTGATTTTTGTTCAATATAATCAGATTATAAATTGTGAGCACAAGTTGCTGAATACTCAAACCAGAAATAATGAGTCAGAAAACACAAGCATTTAAAAAGTGCTTGTGTTTATCTCTAAAAGAATAATTTAGAGAACTAAAAATCTCAAGTTTAATGTCTTCCTTCTTAGTTCCTAAAGTCCTATGAACTCAGCTCATTCTTATGAATATATATCAAGTGCCAACAACAGAATAGGAGCTAATTCTAACAATACAATTGTTATTAGCTGGCCAGGAACCAATGCATCATTTTTTAAATAAACCGGTATAGCTAGATAGGAAAAATGAAAAAGGCTTACAGTCTGGGGCCTGTAATACTTAGTAGGAACGGTTGAAGACTAGAATCAAATAGACCTGCATTTCAGTCCCAAATTTATCACCTAGTAGCAGTGTCATTTTACCTCTCCAGACCTCAACTTTCTCATCTTTAAAATGGGTTTTTGGCCCTGGCCGGTTTGGCTAAGTGGTTAGGACATAAGCCTTTGGACCCAAGAGTCACAGGTTCAACTCCAGTCAAGGGCACTTACCTCTGTTGTGGTTCGGTCCCCAGCCCTAGTCAGGTCATGCGGGAGGCAACAAGTCGATGTGTCTCTCTCACATCAATGTCTGTCTGTCTGTCTGTCTGTCTCTCTCTCTCTCCCCCTCCCACTCTATCTGAAGATAAATGGAAAAAATATTCTCAGGTGAGGATTTTTTTTTTTTTTTTTTGTGGTACATGCCCCTAGCAGGAACTGAACCCGGGACTCTCTGGTACGCAGGCCAATGCTCAACCGCTGAGCCAAACTGGCCAGGACGAGGATTTTTTTTAATGGGTTTTTTGACACATCACCGCAGTGCTGTTATGGAGGAAACAACGTATATGGCGTGCTAGGATGGTATTTGGCACACTCCATAAGTGATGCCTATTTCCAGTGTAACTAACTATTCCCAAGGTACAAGTGAAATAAAATTATGGGGAAAAGGTAATCGTTGTTATTGGTCTGTCTGTAGGAATATATGTAAGAGTCACTTATGTTATTTTAGCTGAATGTCTTTTCCCCACAAGTCCACTGATAATTCTTGTTGAACATGTCCTTTCCACAAACCCTATACTGGGAAACACTATTTGACTACATGTATACTGCAGTTAACCTTTTCAGTCTTTTTCCTTTCTTCAAAAATATTCCAAAAGCTCAAATGGCAATTAGAATATATTGCCTTTCATTTGATTGAATATAAAAAGAAATTTGGTCTGTGCTCTGCATGTTGTCATAAAAAATACTACTGGGATAAAATAAGAATCTATGAGCTAACTATCTCAGAATACAAAATTCTAAAATCATGCCTTAACCAAGAAGGTCTTCATATGTCTCCCTGGACTATTGCATACTTCCTCAATTGTCTACCTGTCTTTGGTCTTACCATCACCCTTCTTCTTATTCACCCCCTTCCTTATACATCCTCCTTACTTCCACCATAGTTATCTCTTCAATATGCAAACCTGGTTGTGTCCTCTTGTGCTTAAAACACTTCAACTGCTCCCTATTGCGCATAAGACAAAGTACAAGCAAAGACAATTTCTGCTTCCCCCACAGCCCATTACTTTTGACCTCGTATCATATACTTAAAGCTAGTCCAAAATGCTTTCCATTCCACGAAACACACCTTAGTGGTCCCAACATGCGTGTCTTGCTCACTCTGCGCTGTCCTCGCCTGCCCTATGAGGCTGAAACACTGCCTCCACCACTGGCCGTGCTACTGGACAATTCACTTCAACTCCATGTGCCTCGGGTCCCTCATCCATATAGGTACAACAGTAATTAGGGTTGTTTGAAGATCAAATAAGTTAATACACATTAAATGCTTAGAACATAGTAAACGTAAGTGTCAGCATTGGTAATGGCAAGGAAGACAAAGGAGGAGGAAGGGGAAGCAGGAGGAGGTGGAAAAACGGGAGGAGCAGAAGCAGAGGGAGAAAGAGCAGGGGAAGAGAACCAGTTGTTAAAGAAAACTTTTCCAACATCACTAGAGGGGAATGACACTGCCTCGTTCCTGTGTACTGTAACTGTGCTGTGTGTCTGTGCGATTTACACATATTTTATATACATAGACATCGTATGTCACATCCAATAGCATTAATATGCTCACATGTAATTCCAAATAGACTGATTTCTTTGAAAATAGAAATAGTGCATTATTTCTTATTATATCACCAGCATCTAGAACAGTACATGGCAAATATTCCCAAGTGCTATTAAATGAATTCATTACACAATCCTAAAGTCAGCAGAACCAAGCAAGGAAGAGCAAACAAATATTCTAGATTCTCAAGAAAATAGAATAATAAATTAGGACAACACAATAAAGTCCCTCTTCCAGTAACAAATTCTGCCTTCAGTAACTGAGGAATTAATTAAAGACAAGTATATGCATAGCATTCAACCCCACCATGAAAAGGCAAATCACTGAAAAAGTCCAGGAGCTGCATATATATTAAGAGAACCTAGCAGATTGACATAGTATTTAATAGTAAAAATAGGTAAAACACTGGAAACATTCAGACCCTATTCCCATCTTTACAGCCTTCAGAGACAGTGGACATAACCTGAGTGAAAGCAGCTCGGCGGACCTCTACGAGAAAGAAGACAACTGAAAGGGCAGAGTTCGCCACAGTCTGGTCAGTTTTGATTCCAGAAGTAGAACAGGGCTTGCCACAGCATCACGATACTCTTGGCTACCCACTGGCATGTAAGCCCATCTCGCTGGAATGAAGTTCACTTAGGAAGCGGACCATGTCTGTCTTGATCAACACTGTATCCTCAGCTGCTAGAACTTTATCTGGCATGTGGTAGACATGCAATAAATAGCTGTTAACTATCAGTGTGGAGTGGTGGTGGGGGGGCGTCAATGGGGGTAAGAAAAGGGAGGAACATCTGAATACTTTCAACAATAAAGATATATCAAAAACATAGAAAATTTGAGTATGAAACATATAAAAATTGAAATAAGGAACACAGTAGGTTTTTTTAAATAACAGAAGAAAGAATTGGCAAAATTAGATAAAGGAACTTTGCCAATAGGCAACAGGAAGGGATGTGTATAAAAATATATATTTGTTAACTGGATGAACTTCATTTAAAAGTTTCAGTTTATAGTGCCAAATATAAAACCATTTCAATCAAGTAAGGCCTGAAAGTCAATCTAATTTCATCCCCACCAACACCACCTGCACCACCACCTGATGCCCCGCCCCCAACCTTCCCTGCCTGAGTTCCCACCTCCAGGTGCATCAGAGGACATGAAAAGTACTTTCTTCATCTGAAATCCAACTTGATGTGCCTCCAGTGTATCAATCCTAGTCATGTCTTCTGGAACAGCACAAAACCACTCAAAACTCACTTTCCAATTACAGCCTTCCCAGAATCTGAAAACAGCCATGCTACATGCCCTCTCCCCCAGCTCTGTCTCCAGGAGCAGATCCCGGAGCATTTACTTCTCTGCCTCCCAGAACTGCACTTCCCTTCCCCATCATTGTGAGTCTTCTGCAGCTTTGCTCCACATTGCCAATGTCCCTTTGCAGCTGTTCTCAACCTGTGGGTTGCAACCCCTTTGCGGGTCAAATGTCCCTTTCACAGGGGTCGCCTAAGACCATCGGAAAACACATATTTCCGATGGTCTTAGGAACTGAGACAGCGCTCCTCTATCCGTCTCCAGGTGGGTCCGCCCACATGCAGATACGCCCACATACAACATGAGGAACTGTATTAAATAAAGGGTCAGGGCATTAGGAATGTTGAGAACCACTGCTTTAGAGTGTATGACCAGACCACAGTGAAATGACCTTCTGGGTCCCCGGTCCTGGACACTATACCTCTTCTGAGTTGGCCTGGGGATGCTTTATTGCAGTTTTTTGTTGTTGCTGCTGTCACTGTTGTCACTGCTTGCTAACTCTGCCACATCATCAACTAATAAGGAATTAATAGTCATCAAAACTCAAGCTTTCTCATACCTGCTACACAAAAATCCTATCGTGGGGTTTTGCATTTAAACTGTTGTGGTTTGGGGGTTTGAGATTCAGCCAGATATTAATTTCCCCCTTTAAATCCACGTCTTTCATTAAAACTCTCAGGATTCTGGATATTAGAAATTTCACATTTCAAAATAAAAATGGCTTCGGTTATCAGTTGTTCATGTTCATTTTGAGTTTGGTCTCAGGCTTAGTATAAGATGTCCTAAATCACAGATTTTAATGCCAGGAGAGACCTTAAAAGTAACCTAATCTGACTCTAAGAGGCTAATCTGTTTATGAGTCAGAGCTGGAATTTAGGTCTTCAGACCCCCAAAAGCAGCAGCTACACAGGGAAACCTTGACAAAGGGGAGTTCTAAAAAAGATAGCTATCATTTCACTTAGGGGTCTGAAAAAACATCATTCCTCTTAGGGTTCTGAAAAACCATCACTCAGATTTTTTAAATGAAAAGCCATTTCCAAAAAATGACTTCTTAATTTGCAGCATTTTTTTGCCCCAAAAGATAGCACTATTTCTATTAATAAAAAAAAAAAAAAAAAAAATGGATGGAATTTAAGCAGGACTGTTCTCTTCATAGAAAAAACAAACTCTGTAAAACCAAATTTAAATTTAAAAATAAAGTGTTATTATTAAAACAAAATAAAAAAAATTTAATTAAATATAAATTACCAAAAATAAAAATATAATTTAAAAGGAAATTTAAAACTATTTTAAGTGCTTATATCACAACCAGGAAGATGCAAATTGAAAAAATAAAATCCCATTTGTTTGGGATTATTTTTTGTTTGTTTAAAAAAAAATTTTTTTCCCTTTAATTTCTAGAGAGAGAAGAAGGGAGAGAGAGAGAGAGAAACATCGATGAGAGAGAACATTGCATGCACCTGCATGCACCCCACTGGGGATTGGGCCCAGCCTCCTGCATGTCCCCCACTGGGGATCGGGCCCACCATCTGGGCATGTGTCCTGATCTGAATCAAACCGGCAACCTCTTGGTACACGGGTTGATGCTCAACCACTGAGCCACACTGGCCAGGCCCCATTTGTTTTTAATACATCATATTGTCAAAGGTTGAAGAGATTGTTGATGTAATATTGGTAAAAGCATAGGCCAAAACACAATTGGTGGAAGAGGGTTTGTTGTTTTTTTGGCAATGTTCCTCTATTAAAATTTTTAGGATATAAAATAAAATAAAAATAAAACAATTGCTATTTGAAGGAGGAGGGGCAGAGGAAGGGGAGGAGAAGAGCCTAGTTCAGGTGTAGTACACACAGTTAATTAATTCAGCCACATGATGGCACTGCAGCATCATTTATATCAGCCTTTGAGGAGAACACCAAGGAGAAAGCACTTCAAAGTTTGAATTTGAAGTTTACTCCCTCCATTCCCTAAGCTTTTGCTGGTAACCTCCCTCAACACAAAAGTGTTTCCATCTGGGGAAGAGCCCTCCCGTCCCACCCCTCCACCAGTCTTAGTCTTCAAGATGTCTTCAGGAATACAGAGTGATGTCAAAAATATTAACCCCTTCCACCCAGCTCCTCCATTTGAGTAGGTGAGCCAAAATAGGATGGGTCACATTGAACAAATTAAACCTTCTGAGTCTTAGCTTCTTCGTGTATAAGATGAAAGCAATAACAGCACCTTTCTCAAAGTGTTGGTATGAGGATTAAATGAGATAATATACAAAAGTGCTTAGAAGCCTACCTGATAAATGGTAGACATTCATTCAACAAATGATGATGGTGATGATGATGATGATGATGACGACAACGACAATAATGGCAGTGCCAATTACATAAGACTATAATGAGTGTTATTATGTATGCAAAGCCCTTCACCTACCGCCTAACACAGAGTAGGGATTCAATAATAATGCCTGGATCTCATAGGGGTTTACATTTCTCTGGGCTTACACTAAGAAAGGGCTGAGGAAATCATGTCTATTTTCCTTCTGTCTCAGGTTATAATAGAGTTGAACTCCAACATAGCTACAGAAACAGGGTCCCTCCGACCTGAGAAGACACAGATGTGGTTGGTCTCCCTGCCGAAGGAATCAACTCACCAGCTGAAGGTTTAGAAATTTCTGGGTAAAATTATTAATTTCCTTGGCAATTATTATATTGGAAAAAACTGAAGGAATTTCATCCCAGTCTTCAAATGCCAACTGTACCACCACCCACCGCTCCAAAATCCTTGCACCCCACACTCCTCTCACTCCATCCCACAAGCCTGGGCCACAGACCTATTCTCCTTCAGTCCTTATTCTGTTAGAGAGAAATTCAAGTTCTGTGGGGGAGGAGATGTCTTATGTAGGGCATAAATCAGAAATTATTTTAAATGACTATCATATTAAAATTCTCTCAGCATTAACAAGTACAAACACGAACAGTTAAAGTTTGGCACAGACGTCCCTGCCCTTCAAAGATCTGCAGACAGATGCTTAAGCAGACCAAAATACAACAGTTCTGTGAAGCAGTATTTGTTGCTACAGCAAGGGCAACAGGACTATGCAAATTCTTTTCAGGAAATTGTCTGGAACTGAACGTAGCATCACTAGAATAGTCTGTAGACCAAACTGCCATTATACATGGGACAGTCTCCTCTCATTTTAATTCACACTCAAAGAGCTGGCATAGTCTTGTTTAAGTCACTGTTAGTAACAGAGCTTTTAAATTCAAGAAACAAAACAGAGAATACACAATTGTTTTCCATTAAGTATGCAAATATCTTTGCTTCCGTTTTTGCTTTTAAGTGTTGTCAACTTTTAAGATACTTGGCTATGTTTTGAGAAAATAAGAAGAAAAAAGTATCTGCCCCGAGTGTTAGAATATTTAGGGTAAGGCTCTGCATGTGATAAAGAATAAAGTACTAATGTTCCAGATGCCAGTAACAATTCTCTAATTGTTGTGGTCTCAACAGGAGTATATTCGCCTTTCTCAGGCTACATTCCAATGACTGAGCAATGAATACAGGGAATAAATATGTCTCCTAGAGAAAAAAGTGCTACCAACATTCTAGGAAAGTCAATAGAAGCCTCAAGCTGAAACCTAGCAGTAAATACTGGTGAGTGGGAATCTTATCATAAAATAAAGTCTCCTTACCCTCAGGTCATGACTGGAACAGAGTTTAGATGCTCTTTCACCCTAATGAACACTAACATTCATTCATTCATTCATTCACTCACTCACTAGCATGTGGTCCATAAGTAAAGTCCAACCTATTTAAGCAAAATGAAGTCCAAGATCCATACTATGACCTAAATAGGGTAACCATAGTTTATCGTTCAAATCAGGACAATTTTAGGAGTGAAAGCAAGCACTATTAATAATTATTCCAGGACAACAGATATAAACCAGGACTGTTCTGAGTAAGCCAGAATGGACGGTCACCCTACCTAGAGATATAGTTACCAGATGAATGTTCAGCATCAAGTTAATAAGTTATGACTAATATGAGAGACCAAGGGACAGTGGAGAATATCAATTTTAAGAATGCTTTTCTTTTATTAATAGTTTATTATCTGCAATTTTACATATGATCATAGAAAAGTAAGACTAAAAATAGTAAACCTATAATATATATTCACTAAATTTTGTTATATAACTCACTAAATTTTCTTTGGTTAGCACTCAGTGCCAACAAAAGTCTTAAGAAACACAGGAAATACAGAGGAAGATATTTTGTCAATAAATTTCATACCTTGGAAGACTGACCTATAATCATCAGTTTTCTGCAAATGGTGTAAATGTAAATGGTACCTAGATAGAGAAAATAATCATTAACATGTTTCACAGTCAAACCATGAAAATTTTATATGCCAATTCCTGTGGTTTAAGTCTGTAGTTCTCAAAATAAGCATCTCATGAGAAAGTCTGATAATGGTTAGAGTTATAATCATTATAATTTGTTTTATAAGTAAATCATTAAAAGAAACTAAAATGACCATATATTAAGTATGTTGACACAGAAATCTTTTAGCTTCATTATAAAAGCAGTTTAAGTCTTGAAATATATTAAACAAAAATATTTTTAGTAGCATAATTTATGTACCCTGTGGTTTTAGTAATTCATATAAAATGTTATTGGTTTCCATGGTTTCCTTGTGGTCGAAAAACTAAAGGTCTATTTCCAAATAAGATTACAATACATATTTAATCAGCATGGCACAATACTCAACATGGAAACTCATAATAGTTTTAAAATCATAACACATAATAGGTTACATTATATTCATTCGTAGTCTCATATAATATTTATTCTATTATTACGGTATGTCTTATGAGTACTCTAATAAAAAAGAGTGTTTTCAATTCCTATTTAACATCATTCAAGTATGACTTTTTTTTTTTTTTTTTTTTTTGGTCAGGTCATTAATTAAACAGGACAGAGACTGGTGATAGGATTAGGGGAAGGAGGGAACAACGTCAACATTATTTCTCTATACACAAAGCTCATCATCATGCTATAAATGTAACCAAAAGAAAGATAGTAACATGCTTTTAAAAGGCATGTAATTATAAATGCAAGTAATCTAAATATTTCCTATAAAGTATCTGATCTAAAATTTATTACCATCAAAATTCAACAGTTATAAATCCCACGTTCACATTTAAGCTTTAAGCTTCTGTGAAGGCAGCATCTGCTCCAAGACACACAAGATTTGATTAAAATACACCTGTTAGCATAATAAATATCAATTACATAGATAAGTGACAAAAACACTGAATAAAATATTAAACATATATAGCAGCATAAACTCCGGCCCCGGACATCCAAGGACTCGGCGTTCTCCCTGTGGCTGCTCCCTGACATGGAGTTATTTATTTCATGTAAGACCCACTGGGGAAGAAACCATTTGGCTGGTAACAGTTCAAGCCCAGCATTCTTATCACAATGTGGTTTTGTCCACCTCTGTTTTTAATATTAAAAATTAAACTACATAACTGTTTCTTTGTTTAAAAAAAGAAAAGTCTCCAGGAAACACATGCTCTCTCCAGAACATGTGATTCAGGTGTAAGCCTGTGTAAATACGTCAGTAACAGGAACTGGGGAATTTCAGGCCTCAGGAGACTGCCCTCAAGAATGACAAGGGCCCTCTGTTTTTCAAAACTGTGCTTTTAACTTTTCAGGCCCTACTGTGCCCTGACTATAACTGATCCCTTCTTTGATGGTTCAGAATCTTGGTATGGCTCACAAATTCCCACTGCAGAAGTGTGACGGAGAGAGTATTGTTATAGAATGGAACATAGACTGAATCTTCACAACTTCAGGATGTCTCTGGAAGTTTGTTTTGTTTTGATTTTGACCAAATTCCTAACATGAGTTTTTTTGCCTTGTCATGTTGACTCCTTTTCATCAAAGATGGCCATCACCAAAATAATCTATTTAAGGGTTTCAATTAGTTGGGTGTTTCAGTGCCGGTGTGGCTTAGTGATTGAGCGTTGACCCATGCACCAAGAGGTCACCTGTTCAATTCCCAGTCAGGGCACATGCCCAGGTTGTGGGCCAAATCCCCAGTGGGGGGCATGCAGGAGGTGGCCAATCCATGTTCTGTCTGATCTATGTTTCTATCTCTCCGTCTCCCTTTACTCTTTCTAAAAATCAATAACAACAAAAAAAATTTTTTTAAAGAAGTAACGTGTTATGGAAAATGCACCCAGTTAGATTTTATGAAAGAACCAAGATTGGTTACATAAAGTAAAGAGAATGAATATTCAGTTCTAACTAGAAAGGTTAAATGTATCGTAAGAAATTGACTATATTGATTTACTTCTGATTACTTAAAATCCAAAGTTTTCAAACTACAGATCTTTGCATTTACTAATTCTCCAGCTGGAGTGTCCTTTCCCCAAATATCCAAATGTTTCATTCAGGTCTTTGCTTAAATGTCATTTCACTGAGGCCTTCCCTGACCATTCTATTTAAAGTTGCAGCCCAGCCCTGGCTGGTTTGGCTCAGCGGTTAGAGCATTGGCCTGCGGTCCAGAGAGACCCGGGTTCGGTTCCCGCTAAGGGCGCATACCTCAGTTGCAGTTTGTCCCCGGCCCTGGTCGGTCGTGCGGGTGGCAGCCACTCGATGTGTCCCTTTCACGTCGATGTTTCTCTCTCTCTCTCTCTTCCTCCTCTCTCTCCCTCCCACTCGGGTGGCAGCCACTCGATGTGTCCCTTTCACGTCGATGTTTCTCTCTCTCTCTCTCTTCCTCCTCTCTCTCCCTCCCACTCTACCTGAACAAAAAATGGAAAAATGTCCTCGGGTGAGGATTAAAAAGAAAAAAAAAGAAAAAGCAAACACCAAGGAAAGGATGTAGAAGATACAGAAATCATTGACTCTTTCTTTTTTAAGAATATTGGGATTTTGTGTGCGTATGGTCTTAAAAGGCCAGCAGCCAGGAGCCGGGCCGTGTCCTTTCACCATTCAAGCAAGGCCTGACTGCAGGCCCGACCCGTGGGCCTGCCACTGCTTCCTGAGCACAGAATCTCTGCTCCTGCTCGGTCCCCACCAAAATGTGTGACCAACTCAGGTGGAGAGATGGCAGTGGCTACTCTGGGATACACAGATACATACGCCTGAGGATGATCAAGTACAAAAGCTTGACAATCACTGGATTAAAAAATGTCTTCCAAAGTCAGCCTCATCTCTGGCAGCAAATGTAATTTTCAATCAAATTGTCAAAAAATTATTTGGGGAGGGTGAGGAAGGAAAAGGCTAGGAAATGTATTTCAATTGCCAAAGATGAGCTAAAATCTTTCGAGTTATGTTGTCCTGCTCTTATGCACAGAGAACATACTGTCATTATTTTCCTTTTGAGAAATATTATCCAGAGAACAATAGCAAATGACTCATTGCAACTTTTAATGGTAACTTTAAAAACAAAATTTAATTTAAATTGTAACTCTTTAAAGAGAAAAATAAATGTTACCTTTAAAAAAAAATTAAATTGATTCCAGAGAAAGAGAGAGAGAAAGAAACATCAATATGAGAGAACGGTCTATCAGCTGCCTCCAGCATGTCCCCTACTGGGGACTGAGCCTGCCACCTGGGCATGTGCTCTGACTGGGAATCGAACCTGTGACCTCTCATGCAAGGGATGACACTCAACCAACTGAGCCACACCTGCCAGGGCAACACTACATTTTGATAGATAATATTTTATGAGACATATGTAATATATGTGATGTGTGTGTGTGTGTGTGTGTGCACAATGTATTTATGTATATAAATATACCAAACATACACATATAAACACACAAAAGTTCCTTATTCAAAACCAAGTCAGAGAAAAAGGTTGATATGTAGAAAGCCAATGTCACTGGCCAACATATTTGAGGAAAGGACCCATAAATAGATGATGCTTAGAACCAATCTAACTTGCAGTGATTCTTTGATTCTTCTCCACTTATATATACTTAACTGTGGGCCCTGCTTTCTATATACCTTGAACTGATTATCCCCATAGACTCTAACCCTTCTTTGAACAGAAAACCCAGAGACATGCTTTATAAGTTCCTGCTTATGAGGAAAAACTAAAATGTAATAAAAGTGCAAAAAACTACAATCATACTTTGAAATAAATATATTTTAAATCACAAGGTAATCAAGCTAACATCAAATCTGGCATTCAAATAAGTTTCTGAACAACATGATGGAAAATAAAATACACTGGTACATACCATTGAAGATAATCCAGCAAAGGTGCTCCTGTGGCAACGCCACCTGCATGATGAGTCTTAAGGAGGACAAGATATGCAGACACTGGATCACAGATTCTTTATTCTGCAGCTTCATATCACTGTCACAGACCAGCTGGTAGCTGCAAATATTTTTGCCATTTAAAGCATGAAACTGAAACACATGGGAAAATATAGGTACAAATATAAATAAAGTTTATGCAACTTAGAAAAGCTTTTCTTAAAATATAAAAAACTAAAATGGAAACAATTATGCTTAATTAATTTAATAGATTAATATAGTGCTAGAGACTGAATGTTTGTGTTCCCACAAAACTCTTAAGTTGAAACCTATTGCCAATGTGATGGTATTAGAAGGTGGGGTCTTTGGGAGGCAATTAGGTCATGAGAGTCAAGCCCTCATGGATGGGATTAATGCCCTTATAAAAGGAACCCGAGAGAGCTCCCTCATGCCTTCTGCCGTCTGAGGATGCAGCAAGAAGACAGCCACCTATGAACCAAAAAGCGAGCTCTCACCAGACACCAAATCTTCTAGCACCTTGATCTGAGTCATCCCTGCCTCCAGAAAGTGAGAAATAAATGTTTGTTGTTTAAGCCATCAGTCTATGAATTTTTGTTATACCATCTCTAATGAATTAAGACATAGAAAGATAGGTTTCTTCAAAGGATCGATTTAATTATCTTTCCTTAATGAAAAAAAATTTTAGGCATAAAAAAGTCCAAAATACTGTTTCCAAGAATATGAAATTGAATCAATTTTTGGAAACTCTCCCAATGACATTTTAACTCAATAATTCAGATGTAATTATCGATTTGGCAAATGTTTACTGAGCACCTCTATTTGCCACACTCTGCTAAGCAACAGGGACTCAATGCTGAGGAAGACATGGCCCTTGCTCTTGGCAGAAAGAAAAGAATTCCAGGCACAAGCAATCTTAGGAATGCTTAAAGTAGGTGCTGTGGTCACTGGATTGAAAGTCTTTTGTAAGGTTGCACAAGATTTAAAATAAAGAGATTAGGCTATAGAGGTGGTTCACAGTCAAAATATAAAGTGTTCCATGTCATTCCAAGGGGCAAAGTCAAAAGGCAGAAGAGTAAAATGATTTGATTAACATTTGATAAATTAATTATGACAAAGTGTAGAAGATGAAAAGCAGAGGGAAAGGCGCAAAGCTACACAGGGAGGCTGAGAGAGATCTGAGGTAGTCCAGACATACCAGGCCCCTGAAATGGGGCCCTGACATCGGGCATAAAGAGAAAGGAAAGATTTAAGTCTTGTCTGAGTCAATGGGATGTAGTGGCCAATTAGATGTGGGCAATAAGGGAGAGGAAGAAGTCTGCAATGATTTCCTGCTTGGGTGACTGTCTGGAGCCAATTATGGAAGAAAGATGATGAATTCAGCTTGGAACTCAGCTTGGAAAGATGATGCGTCAAGTTGAGATGTCTAAGATATAACTGGATAGATGCGCAGTTCAGAAGAGAGATTTGACCAGAATACTGATGGGTACCGTTAAAGCTGCGGGAGTGGACGTGCTTAGTAATACAAATGGGCCTTATCTACCACACAGATTTCCTGCTTGGATACATGTACACTGTTTCTAGACATCATGTAGTTGGTATCACAGAAGACACCTGTTGACTGTATCTACATACTGGAATAATCATTACCTTCTACATGCTCTCTGTTTTAGAAACAGATAATGATCCCTAACTTTTTTTTAGCATCAGGTCCTATTCTAAGCCTTTTATTATCTCAGCAATCTCAAAACAACACTAGGGGGTAGGTCTTATTATTACTTCTGTTTTACAGATGAGGAAACTGAGGCACAAAGAAATGATAAGGTCCCATCATAGGCAGTGGCACAGCAGCTCTTTGAACCCAGGCAGGATGGCTCTAGAGACCAAATTCCTACCAACGCTGTCATAACGCCACCCTGTAGTACATACGAAGGGGATCATTAAATATTACATACATAATTAAGTATGTTTACACAAAACTTTGCTGTTAATATTTTGACAGTAAATTATTCATTATTACTGCTTCATCTATGATCTTTATGCATTTAAATCCAAGATTCTCTAACAAAACTTCTCGAGACCTCTAGTTCTGTGTTGTCAAGTTCCGAATGAACTAAATTTTCAGTCCTACTCATTTTACACGTATTTGTTGAGAACTTCGGGATGCCAGTGTCATGCCAGAACCTCAGACGTAGCGTGTACAAAACAAGTTCTTCACACCCATTCTCACCCATCACAACAGTCCTGCTGGCACACTCTTACCCTGTCTCCATTGCTTTACCTTCTGCCCCAGTCTTTTTCCTTCCAATATATTCTGTGTTCTGCTTCCAGATTAATAATCCTGACTGTGTCACTTCATTTGTCCATCCATTCACTAAAGTTTTATTGAGGATCTATTACATGCCAGGCACCGTTCTAGGCACAGGTTAGAGCAGTCCCTGTTCTCATGAAGCTCACATTCCAGAATGGGAGACATGAAATAAAAAAGGTTTTTTTTTGTCGTTTTCTTTTTATCCTCACATTTTTCCATTTTGTGTTCAGATAGAATGGGAGGGAGAGAGAGAGAAACATCGATGTGAAAGGGACACATCGAGTGGCTGCCTCCCGCACGACCCAACCAGGGCCGGGGACAAACTGCAGCCGAGGTACATGCCCTTAGCGGAAACCAAACCCGGGTCTCTCTGAACCACAGGCCAACACTCTAACCGCTGAGCCAAACTGGCCAGGGCATAATCAAGTTTTTAATGAAAATGTAGCTGGTGACAATAAGTAATATAGAGAAAAATAGAGCAGGGAGTGCAGGAGACCTTAGGGAGTAAGGGATGGCCACACAAATATCTAAGATACATGCTGTGCTGACAGCGGAGCTCACCAGTGCACTGGCACGAGCCAGGGAGGCGGGTGAAAGCAGGATAATGCAGTGGTATGAGAGAGAGAAAGAGGGGGGATGGGGGCCTGGACCAGAATGGGATAAGACGGGTCTTAAAAGTCCAAACTCAAGTTTTTCATTCAGTACTCTCCCCAATGGGGTGCCAACTTATATTGCCCAACATTCCCATTCATGCACCTATGATACGGCCAAAACTGAACTGCTCAATGTGCCCCCAAACATGCTTTGAGATTGTCTGCTTATTAAACCACATATGTTTCCAAGGCCTTGAATAATCAAGTTTGAAATAACATAGCTTTGGGGTCAGATTGATTAGGGTTCAAACACCAACTCTGTCCATTGCTTTAAGTGGGCTGGTTTCTTAGTCTCTCATAAGCTTCAGTTTCTTCATCTGTCAAAGAGGCATAATCGTACCCATCTTTTGAGACTATAATGAGGCTTCAAGATGATAATTCATATACTGCATATGGAAGAGCCCAGCACATGGTAACTGTTCAACCAGTGAGTCAATAGTAGCAATTAACATAATAATACTGGTATACCAGAAATAAATCATAAAATTTTATATCAGAAGATCTATGTTTAATCTCCAAGGCCATTAGTTATACTGCGTGATTAGCTTTCTTTTTCTCTTTTGTAAAATAAAAATAATAATAGTATCTAACTCACAAAGTTAATGTGAGGATCAAATATGTTTTTAGCTTGTAAACTAAAAGCTACAGATATTAGTTATTATAATGATAACTGTCTGCTGGATGAATGAGTGATTATAGTGATGCTATCTCCAAAGCATCTTTACAAAGTTTAGTCAGTGCACGTTCTTATCCAGCACTGAAAACATTTATTAAGCAACTTACAGCACACAAGTAAATGCTACACTAAGCACAGGAAAGACTTTAGAAGCTGTCAACAAAAGGACATATTGCATAGCTAATCATAAATTGTAGCTATTTTAGCTGCTTTCATCTTACTGTATGTGCAGCAGTTTTGTCTCCAAAGCCTTCTGGAAAATAGACAGTTTTGAACTGATGTATATCTGCTTTATTTTCATCAAAGTTGATACTGAACTGCTGAAGATATCTTCCATAGCACTGTAAAAGGGCCAATTTATATTCCTAAAGTAAAAAGAGCACTTGATGAAAATTTCAAAGTATCATTTTGCTTATTAAATTTTTAATAACCATTAAATTATTAGTCTATTAATATTAAATAAGTATTAAATTATATCATTATTAAAATTAGGTACTAATTATATTATTCTTAATAGTATCAATCTTGATTATTACTACTATTACTATCACCACTGCATTATCACTACCTCTATCACTATCATTTCCAAACACATATTATGTGATAGACATTGTGCCAGGCAATTCATCTGCATTATTTCACTTAATTCTCCTCACAACAAGCCTATTGTGAGATAAGACCATTACCATCTTAAAGGCAAGAATATCCAAAAATTCAACATTGGCATGATGGTAACCCACCCACTCAAGTCAGAGGGGTAGATGAGTTGTGTAACTAGACTTGCCTCTCTGATACCTCCTAAGCTCCACAAAAGAAGGAAAGAGATGAGGAGGGGAGAGAAGGAAATAGAAAAAGAGAGGAGGAGGGAGAAAATACAGGAAGGAGAGAGGAAGAGAAAGAAAGAAGGAAGGAGAGAGAGAAGGGGGAAAAGGAAAGAAAGGGGAGAAGAGAAAGGAGAAAGAGGGAGAAAGGGAAAGAAGAAAGGAAGAAGAGCGAATGGGAGGGAAGAGAAAGGGTAAAGGGAGGAGAGAGGAGAGGAAGGAAGGAGAGCAGAAATGGGGAGGGGACAGAGAGGGGAGACAAAGAGAAAGGGAGGGGAAGGAGAGGAAAACACAGATAAGCTGATTCAGTCTCTCTCTCTCTTTCTCTCTCTGTCATCTGTCAACAGTCTCTGAAGCTGCATCAGAACAAGCCAAAAAATTCTGAGCTATTGTTAATTATGACTCTGTTAGCTCTAATTCATGCTTATACTCTCATTACAAAGTCAGATGTCTCATTTCTGTAGCCCAGAAGGAAGAGTTGATCTGGAGAGTTTCAGGGCGGTGGGTATGACTAGGACTCTGAAATACAGGTCTGTTGCAACCGTTACTCAGCTTCCTCCCCTGTAACTGAGTCTCCAGGAAAAGCAACTGCCCTGGGTATGAACTGCCTTTCAGGTTACCTAGCCCCTTGGGAGGCATCCACCCTCAAATGCTGTTTTGTTTCCATTTCTATTGACGTGTTTGTTACTGTTCACTAATTAATTCTAGTTCTTTTCTGTTCTAATTTGATTCATATAATGAATTCAAATCTAGGTTTAAAACAAGTAGTATTCCAACAATGATCTTTACTTTAATTAAATAAAAAGAGATTCTAGAACCAAAGTAACAGGTCAATTCCATTTTCAGAATTATAAATACCTCTATCATCATGCTTTCCCAACAGTGAAAAGTATTTAAAATGTTTTCTTTGTTCTTTAGAGCACATTTTAAAATATCCTCTCTAGGCCTCTCTATCTGAAATATTCTGAACCCGTCATCCACTTACTTTATCAACTTATAACATGTTCCTTCCTCCTCCTTCCATCAATATCCACTCCACCCACTTGGATATTCCTCAAACAACCTCAAACTGTACTATATATCATTAGCTTCTAATATTAAGGAGAAGCATGAAAATGGAGAGGGAGCCCTGGCCGGTTTGACTCAATGGTTAGAGCATCGGCCTGCGGTTCAGAGAGACCCGGGTTCGGTTCCCGCTAGGGGCATGTGCCTCGGTTGCGGTTTGTCCTCTGCCCTGGTTGGTCGTGCGGGTGGCAGCCACTCGATGTGTCCCTTTCATGTCGATGTTTTTCTCTCTCTCCCTCTCTTCCTTTCTCTCCATCCCACTCTATCTCAAAAAAAAAACGGAAAAATGTCCTCGGGTGAGAATTAAAAAAAAATGGAGAGAGAGCCCTGGCCGGTTTGGCTCAGCGGTTAGAGCATCACCCCGTGGACCAGAGAGACCCGCGTTTGGTTCCGGCTAAGGGCATGAACCTCGGTTGCAGTTCATCCCTGGCCCTGGTTGGGGTCATGCGGGTGGCAACCAATCAATGCGTCTCTCTCACATCGATGTTTCTCTCTCTCTTCCTCCCTCTCTCCCTCCCACTCTCTCTGAAGATAAATGCAAAAATGTCCTCGGGTGAGGATGATAAAATAAAAATAAAATGGAGAGGGAGCACTCTTCTGATTCTTGTCAAAGCTGTTATTCCACTTCACATAAATATAGCTTACAAGTTGGATCACATCTGTTTTTGTTTTTTTTTCCCCTATAGTTTTCCAAACTCTGTATTTTCAACTTTCTAAGAACCATGGTCCAATTACATGGAGCTAAGGAGATTTGTTTATTTTAGCAGCAGAAAATAGATTTTAGCTCTTCATTATCAAAGTTCTTTTATATCTTATCCTCTCTTTGGTAAACTTCTCTCACAAACCAAAAGGATTCAAGCCCAGAAAATAGAAATATAGGAAGAAAATGACACTGAGAAACTGAAGATTGAGAAGACACTAAATACAGCCCATGTCTGGCCTAAAAACACTCGGGATTAAATAAATCTTGGTCCAAGGATCCTAGATGTGCCACATACTAATAATTAACTTGGAGTAATTTGGGCCTATGCCAGAGATTAAGGGGAAAACTCAGCCATGGTATGTGTGCAGTCTTGCACAAGTCCATGAGTACACAGCAATCCAAGACCTGGGCATTGATATGGAACTAGAAGTAGAGGCAAACTCAGTTTGGAATACAAAACTGAGCAAGAAACAGGGCATGTGTGGAATGACTGCTACATTTACATTCAGCAAAACATTAAGAAGGAGTTGAAAGTCATTAAAACAGGGCACTGGGAAGCAGGCAACACAGTAGCAAAGCCAGAAGGCAAGAGAGCTGTCGGTTGGGTGGCTGGGTAAGGCCAACCTTGTGAAAAACAACAGGAAGTGGTGTCTGGGCTCCTTTGTATAAGGTAGGAACATGATGACTCAGCATTTCCTCTTGGGCGCCTACCACACCCTGTGTTAAGTAGGGACTGTGCTCCTAGCCATCCCCGGCCAGCAGTCTTTCTGTTCAGGAATCTCCCACTTCTGAAAAAATCTCAGCTACAAAATTTAAAAACACATTTTGGTTACTGTACAACATTAAAATTTTATGAATTCATTTATATTTTTCTTTAAAAAAATTAAATCATGCCCTGGCCGGTTTGGCTCAGCAGTTAGAGCGTTGGCCTGCGGTTCGGTTCCCGCTAGGGGCGCGTACCTCGGTTGCAGTTTGTCCCCGGCCCTGGTTGGTTGGTCATGTGGGTGGCAGCCACTCGATGTGTCCTTTTCACATCGATGTTTCTCTCTCTCTCTCTCTCTCTCTCTCTCTCTCTCTCTCTCTCTCTCTGAACAAAAAATGGAAAAATGTCCTCAGGTGAGGATAAAAAAAATAAAAAAATAGGAATGGTATCAAACCAAATAATAATGTAATTAGCCAAATGAGTCTCATGTAGGCTCTTTTCACTCCAGAGGCACTTACTTTCATTTCACAAAGCCTATCTCCAACCTTCAGGAGCTTCTCATTATAATAGGCAGCTGGCAGCCGGGGTGCGTATTTGGTCCAGATATTAAACAAAGAGATGGCACTGTAAAATTCATAAAATAAAATGATATCTTCAAAGTCAGTAGGAAATCTCAATTAATTAGCAGCAATCCTTAAAAACTTATATTGTGACAAGTCTTCCCAATGTGCCTTATTGTTAACATCTAATTATTAATAAATTATAACTATATTTAAAATTATTGCTTCTTTTGTGTCAAGCACTGGTTGAAGCTCTTTATATGCATTTTTTTTAAATAAACTTTTTAAAGCAGTTTTAGGTTGACAGAAAAATTGTACCCCTGCCCCCACAAATGCACGGCCTCCCCCATTATCCACATGCCCCACCAGAGTGGTACAATAGTTATCACTGATGAACCTACATTGACACATCATCATCACTCAGTGTCCATTGTTTACATTAGGGTTTACCCTTGGTGTTGCACATTCTATGATTTTGGACAAATGTATAATGACAGGACCATTCACTGCCCTAAAAATCCTCTGCTCTGTCTATTCATCCCTCCCCCTGCCACAACCCCAGGCAACCAGTGATCTTTTTATTCTCTCCATAATTTTGCCTTTCTCAAAATGTCATATAGTTGAAATCATACAGTATATATAGCATTTCCAGACTGGCTTCTTCCACTAAGTAATGTGCATTTAAGATTCCCCCCCCCCCCCCCATGTCTTTTCATGGCTTGATAGCACATTTCCTTTTAGCACTGAGTAATGTTCCATTGCCTGGATATACCACAGTTTGTTTATCCTTTCATTTACTGACAGACATCTTATTTGCTTTCAAGTTTTATCCATTAGAATAAAGCTTCTATAAACATTCATGTACAGACTTAAGTATAAACATAAGTTTTCAACTCTTTCAGGCTAATACCGAGAACAATTTACCAGAGTATGTTTAGTTTTGCAAAAAAACCACAAAGTATCTTCCAGAGTGGCTATACTCACCGGCAATGAATAAGAGTCCCTGGTGCTCCACATCCACACCAGCATTTTGTATTGTCAGTGTTCCGGATTTTGGCCATTCTAATAAATGTGCAGTGTGTATCACTGTTGTTTTAATTTGCATCTTCCAGATGATACATGGTGTGAGGCATCCTTTTTATGTTTATTTGCCATTTGTCTATCTTCTTTGATGAGGTGTCTATTAAGGTCTTTGGCCCACTGTTCTAATCAGGTTATTTGTTTTCTTACTTTGAGTATTAAGAGTTCTCTGTATAGCTAGTTTGGATAATAGTCCTTTATCAGTTATGTTATTTGCAAATATTTTCTCTCAATCTTGGGCTTGGTTTTCATTCTCTTGACAGTGACTTTCACAAGGCAGAAATTTTTCATTTTAATAAAGTCCAGCTTATCAATTCTTTCTTTCATGGATCATGCCATTGATGTTATATAAAAAGGCACTGACCCACAATCATCTAGATTTCTCCTATGTTATCTTCTAGGAGCTTTATAGCATTGTGTTTTACATTAGGTTTGTGATTCATTTTGGGTTAATTTCTGGGAAGTTGTATAAGGTCTGTGTCTACATTCATTTTTTAACCTGTGGATATACAGTTTTTCCAGCACCATTTGTTGAAGTGACTATCTTTACTCTGTTGTATTACCTTTGCTCCTTTCTCAAAGATCAGTTGACTATATTTATATGTGTCTATTTCTGGGCTCTCTGCTCTGTTCCTTTGACCTATCTGTCCACTTTTACCACCACCACACTCACTCGATTACTGTAGCTTTATAGTAAGTCTTGAAATCAGGAAGGATCAGTAGTCTAACTTTGTTTTCAATATTATGTTGGCTATTCTAGATCTTCTACCAACATGCTTTTGTTTTGTTTTGTTTTGTTTTTTTCATTTTCACAACCCTGGATGGGTAATATTAATATCCCAAATATACAGATGATGAAACTGAGGCTTAGTGTATCCATGCTCTTAACTAGTACATATGTAACTTAGCTTTCCAATCCTCTGGAATACAAACTCCTTGAGAGCAAGGACCTTGACATAATATTCATTGTCAAGCTCCAAGAGTACTGAATATCTAGTATATGTAGGCACACAATAAATATTTGTTGAAAGAATGCATTAATAAATGAATAGAAAAAAATTCCTTGTTCTTATTTTATTCTTTTTATAAAGGGTCCAAGGATTCAAATATCTAGTCAGTCCATTTAGGGTTATGCTTTATTCCACCAAGTAGAACAAAATCAAAGCATACAGTATTCTCAATATGGTGTCTAATCAGAGTTTCAAGGGTTAGTAGGTCACTGCTTATTTTGTTCATTCATTTAGTTAACATTTACTCCTTCCCTCTCTCTCAAACATTATAAATACCTCTAAGAAAAATCCAAATTTCCCTTAATAGTTGTCCAATCTTATCTCATAAGTTTCTAGATAAGGACAGTGTTATGGATTAATGCCCTGCTAAGAAGAGACACCGGAGAGCATTTGAGCTTGCTCTGGTTCCCATATTCTCATTCCCTCCCGCCCTCCTTCCCTCCCTTTCCCTCTGTGCTTCCTTGGAGGACAAAATGACACAAAGGGTATCTGCAAGCCAGGAAGAGAGCTCTCACCAGAAACTGACCCTCCCAAACCTTGATCTGGGATATCTAGCCTCCAGAACTGTGAGAAAATAAATCTCTGTTGTCTGAGACACCCCAAACTGACTAATACAGACAGGAATCCAAAACCAAGGACTGAAACTGGTTCTAGTACTTATGATATACATATTAAGCTATTAATAATACAACCTCAACAAAAAACATGTCAATTAATTCACTCAGATAATTAAATTATTATTGACTGAGTGACAAGGGAAGTAGAGGGCTAGGGTATTCCTGCCTTCACAGACTGAGTAATAATATTAGTGGTAGAAAATATATATACATGTACCAAATACTAAATAACAAGGCCAAATCAATAGTGTGGCAAATATAGCCCATAGAAGTTTAAAAAGGGAGAAGGTTTTTGAGGTTTTGTTTGTTTTATCTTTTTCACTTTCATTTCATGCTTCATGAAATACTACAGAATTAGAATGAAAAGAACAGAGTAGAATAGAATAGAATAGAATAGAATAGAATAGATCCAAAAAATTCACCAAGTCTTGCTAGAATTCTTAAATTATGCAGATGAAAGAGTTCATTCTTCCAAACCTTATGGGTGAGATAATCATGACTAGGTTTGTTACTCATCGAAGAAAAATACCAGCTTTATTAAATCAATCAAGGTTACATAATAAGAAAACTTTCTTTTTTTTTTTTAAGTAAACCCTAAGATCAAGTTAAGACTGTTCATCCAGAATGGCTTACATAATGATTAAGCAAGGAAAATATAAACTATATAATGTACATCATTTCAGAAAAGAATGTTAATGTAGTTAATGTAGTTAATGTTGAATATAGCTGCTGCTTGATATTTAGAGTTTTCTAAAATAGAAAATCATAACTATATAAACAGAATATCTAAATCTCATGTGTTTATAACAAAAGCATATCTTTTAAAATTTTATCACACACTAAATTTAATGACATTGCTGGTATGCTCAAAATCTACATTTTAAATGAATTTTTATACTTACAGACATTCTTACAGTTATAGCAGGAAACGAATTTTGATTTAAAAAAAAATAACCATATGTGCCCTGGACAGTTTTTCTCAGTGGTTAGAGTGTCGGCCTGTGGATCAGAGAGTCCCGGGTTCAGTTCCCACTAAGGGCACATACCTCGGCTGCAGTTTGTCTCCGTCCCCGGTTGGGGTCGTATGGGTGGCAATCACTCGATGTTTCTCTCTCTCTCCATTCCTCTCTCCTTCCCGCTCTATCTGAAGATAAATGAAAAAAAAAAAAAAAAAAAATGTCCTCAGGTGAGGATAAAATAAAATAACCATATGTCAAATATGTTATAAAAGCAAACCCTATCTCCTATATTCCTAACTGGTCTCCACTTTGTCATTCTTGCTCCATTTGAACAAGAGCACCAAAATAATATTTTAAAACAAGATCACATATGGTTAAAACAACCCAATGGTTTCTCACTGCATTTGGAATAACCACAAACTCTATAAATGGCCTCTAAACCTTCCAAAGCACTACCTACTCCTCTAATCTCATCTCATACCACTGCACCCACACTCAGTAGGCTATGCTAAATGGGCTTCTGTCCATTCCTCCAGAGTCCCTGACTCTCTCCTGCCAAGATCTTCCCACATGCTTGTTCCCTCTATTTATCCTCTCGCCTTGCCTGGTCAACTGCCAGGCATCCTTCTAATCTCAGCTTAATGTTAGTGCCCTCACATTCATTTGAAATATCCCTGCTGTGTTATTTTTAAGCCTCTGCTCAGTCTCATCTACTATGACCACCTTATTGAAAATGACAACCTGCTTTCTCCCATTCCATAACACTTCCTCTCTTTTTCTTCTTAGCATTTATGACTTTCTATGTCACCATAAAATATATGTATTTAATATGTTTATTATCTAGTCCCTCCTTTAGAATATAAGCACCAAGAGGGCAGGGGTCTTTTTCTGGTTCACTACTGTATCCCCAGCACCTAGTATAATGCCTGGCACATGTAAGTGCTCGGTAACTTCTTCCTTCATTGCACTTGTTTCTGTGTTGACCTAATGACTCACTAGAAACCTGTCTCCCTCTCTAGACTATAAGCTCCATGAGCACAGATTCCCATATCTACTTTGTTCACCACTGTATAACCTACACTGTATAACCTTCAGGACAGACGTGCTGTCGGAGGCCTTTGTTCCTTTGGTGAGCCCTTCCCTGGGGCGGCAGACAGTCACCATATCTGGGACTCCAACAACCTAGCTCACACTGGTTGCCCCACTTTGGTGATTCCCTGAGGCCCCGCCCACCCAACTTTCAGGCCCACCCAAGCTATTGCCAGTTGCTTAACCATAGGATTGGCCTGTCTTGGATCCTGCTTCAGGTTTTCCTAAATTCTTTCAAACAAGCAGCATCTGGTCTCAGGTAGACCCATACCTCTCGTTAAGTAATACACAGAAACAAACACAGGGAGGCAGCCAAAATGAGGACACAAAAAAACAGGTCCCAAATGAAAGAACAGAACAAAACTCCAGGAAAAGAACTAAGTGAAATGGAGACAAGCAACCTAACGGATGCTGAGTTCAAAATACTGCTTATAAGGATGCTCAATGAACTTAGTGGGAACCTCAGTGAACTTAGTGAGGGCCTCAAGAGCATTAAAAAAGACCACAGCAATGAAGGAGGCACAGTCAGAAATGAAGGAGGAATTAACTAAATAAAGAAAAATTTACACAGATTCAACAGTAGAGTAGGTAAAGCCAAGAAGCAAACCATTGATTTGGAATACAAGGAAGCAAAAAACACCCAATCAGAACAGCAAAAAGAAAAAAGAATCCAAAAAAATGAGGATAGTGTAAGGAGACTCTGGGACAACTTCAGGCGTGCCAACATTTGCATATTGGGGGTTCCAGAAGGAGAAAGAAGAGAGAAAACAAGAAGTTGAAAGCCTATTTGAAACAATAATGGCAGAAAACTTCCTTAACTTGAAGGAAACGGGCATACAATTCCAGGAAGCACAGAGAGTCCCAAACAAGGTGAACCCCAAGAGGCCCACACCAAGACACATCATCATCAAAATGCAAAAGATTCAAGACAAAGAGAGAATCTTAAAAGCAGCATGAGAAAAGCAGTTAGTTACCTACAAGGGAGTTCCCATAAGGCTGTCAGCTGATTTCTCAAAAGAAACTTTGCAGGTCAGAAGGGAGTGGCAAGAAATATTCAGAGTGATGAAAAGCAAGAACCTACGACCAAGATTACTCTATCCTGCAAAGCTGTCATTTAGAATCGATGGCCATATAAAGAGTTTCCCAGACAAGAAAAAGTTAAAGGAGTTCATCACCACCAAACTGTTATAAGAAATGTTGAAGGGTCTTTTTGAAGAAAAAGATAAAATATATGAACAAATAAAATGGCAATGAATATGTATCTATCGGCAATAGAATCTACAAACAAAATGAACAGGCAGAACAGAAATATTTTCATAGATACAGAGAACATTTTGTTGGTTGCCAGATGGGAGGGAGGTTGGGGGAATGGGTGAAAAAGGTGAAGGGATTAAGAAGAACAAATTGGTTGTTAGACTGACAAACCTCAAAGAGAAGGGGGTTGAGAGTGGGAAGAAATAAACCAAAGAACTTATATGCATAACCAATGGACACAGACAACAGTGTGGGAAAAGGCGGGAGGGAGGTGGGAGTGGGGATGAGGGGGGTCAATGGGGGAAAAATGAGGAACATCAGTAATACATTCAACAATAAAGATAAAATAAATAAATAATAAAATGCAATGGAAAGCAATAGAAAATCTTCAGTTAGGGAAGTAGGTGATTTATTGATAGAGGTCACCCTGACTGCTATGTAAAGGAAACATTTGAGAATCAAGTGGCTGTAGGGAAAATCTGAGATGGTGATGGTTTGAACTGGAATGTTGACAGTGGAGATGGGAAGATAAAGTACTAGCTAAGACACAAACACAGAAATATTTTCAATACAAATACACTTAGCTTAGGTATGTACTGTGTTCTCCTTGGTCAATTCCTGGTTCTCATCTTGGCCTATCATCAGGATTTGCCACAGTTGATCAATCATTCCTTCCTCCTTGAAACACTTTCTCTACTTGGCTTCCAGTACACCACACACTTACTGATTTTTTCCTATTTCCTTAGCTACTCTTTCAAATCTCTGCCAGTTTTTTTACTACGTCCCCACCCCCACCCCCATCACCACCAAAATTGTCAATGTTCAAGCATCCCAGGGTTCAGTCTTTGGACTCTCCTCTTCTCCATCTTCACTCACTCGCTTAGCTAGTCCATAAAGTACCATGATTTAAATATCATTGATATGCTGACAAATCCCAAATGTATATCTTCTCTGATCTCTGGATTCAAATGTCCAACTACCTACATAATGGCGTTGCCTGAATGTTGAATTACATCTCAATCTTTTTAAAAATATGTGCCTGGCACATAGGTGCTTTATTTTAAATATGTTTTTTAAAATTTGTTTTTATTGATTTTTTTTAGAGAGAGAAACAACGATGAGAGAGAAATATGAACATTGATTGGCTGCCTCCTACATGCTCTGGGCATGTGCCCTGACTGGGAATGGAACTGGGGACTTCCTGGTGCATGGGTTAATGCTCAATCACTGAGCCACATCAGCCAGGCACATCTCAATCTTAATATATCTAAAAACAAAAGTCATGATTTTCCTCACTTCTGCCAGAAACCAGTTCTTCCCAGTCACAATTCCACCCAGGAATCTTCATATTTGCCATTCTCCCTGTTTGACCAACTGTTTCTACAGAAATCCTCATTACCTGCTACCATACCTGCTCATCTTTTCCAAAAGCCACTTTTCCTGACTTCCCCTGACCATCCTCCCTATCACCCCATTTTAAATTGCAACACTCATCCCATATCCTCCATCCCCACTACCTGCTCTCATTTTCTCCCCACCACTTATCTTCTTTTGAAATAATTTCCTTATATATTTGTTTAGTAGCCATCTGTAGTCACAAAAATATGTGCCCACGAGGATATGCACTTGTATATCTTTTGTTAACTTGATGTTTTCCTAGTATGGTACCTGCTATATAGTAGGTGCTCAAAAAATAGTTAAATGCATGAAAGAACAAATATAAGTTAAAACTATTTCTTCATATTAAATGCATAAATAAAAATATCGGTTAAAACTATTCGGCCCCTGGCTGGTGGCTCAGTGGTTAGAGCGTCGGCCTGCAGTCCAGAGAGACCCTGGTTCGGTTCCCGTTGAGGGAGCTTACCTCAGTTGCAGTTTGTCTCCGGCCCTGGTTGGGTCGTGCAGGTGGCAACCACTTGATGTGTCCCTTTCACATTGATGTTTCTCTCTCTCTCTTCCTCTCCCTCCCACTCTATCTGAACAAAATATGGAAAAATGTCCTCGCATGAGGATTAAAAAATAAATTAAAAAAAACTATTCTGGTATTCTTTGCCACTTCGTCTAGATGTATAAATGTTAAGTTAAAAAAATTGGGGGCGGGAACAGGTAGTTTGCAGTTCGAGATAATAACATGGTGATAGAACCTCCCAAAAGGCAAAAGATGTGCAAATTTAGTCACAAAATCAAGAGAAAGTAACTGTGATCCTAACAAAAATATAAAAAGGAATTAAAGGCATATGTTCACAGAATTACATACTTCGTGGCATCAAGAACTTTTTCAAGAACCTATGCTTCCTCAAAGGCACACCTCTTTCTCCGCACACAGAATCGTACCCACAAAATGAAACTCGTAAAACTCAGGAGTGAACCTACAATTTATTGGCAAAGAGTAGCAATTAGCACACACTCAGAATGAATGAAACTGTTTTTCTTTTGACCTGAGCAGGAAGCCAAGTCAGAATTAAGGACTGCAAAAGCGATGCGTCTCCGCTTCTTAAGCTCTGCTTGCATCTCCGGGGCCCTCAGGCGGGGCCTGCATCCCCCCGACCCAGCCCGGGACCCCGGGACCTCGCGGCCCCTCCGCCCCGACCCGAGGGCGGCCCCGACTTCTCCCGCCAGCCCCGCCCCAGCGCCCTGCCTCCGCTTACCAGCGCCGGTGGAACTCGTGCTGCTGCTCCTCCGTTGTCGCCAAAGCCTTCTTTCTCTTCATGAAGCCCAGCAACTCCTGTATCTCCTTCTCACAGGAGACCAGGAGGGGGTTTTTAGCGTCCAGCGGCCCATAAAACACAGCGAGGGGCAACGAGTCCTCGCAGCCGGCCGAGGGAGGCAGCGGGTTCAGAGAGCTCATCTTCGACCCCAGGAGCGACTTGGAGACCGTGGGCGGGGACGGGGGCAGTGGCGGCGCCGGCTGACACATCGAGGAAACAGAGGTTTTGCAGTTAGAGGTCGAGAAGGGGCCTTGCGCCGCCATGTTGACCAGACCCCGGCCGACCAGGAGTGTATATACACGCGGTTGCCAGGCGACGGTCTCCCGGCAACCAGGCAGCCGACGTGTTTTCAAGGAAACACAGCGGCCCCTGGAGGGCAAAGGCAGAAAGAACCGGGTATAGAAAGGAATGATGCTCCTGAGCGGGTCGTTTTGTTTTGTTTTGAGGCGGGGTGGTCCCCTGAGAAGGAGAGAAGGTTCTGGACAGAGAGCCTGCGAATAGGAGAGCCAAAACTTACAATCAAATTCAAACTATACCTTTTTTTAATTTAGGCCACTTAATAATGATGATGATCATCATTATTATGTGCTCGGCATTGTTCTAAGTATTTGAAACATAATCTCATTTAGTCATTATAATAACTTCACAGCTTAGGATATTATTGGTAAGCTTCATTTCACAGTTTAAGAAACCAAAGTTTCACTTCCTCCTTTCCAATTTAGATCCCTTTTATTTTTTCTTCTTGTCTGATTGCTAAGACTTCCAGTACTATGTTAAATAAGAGTGGTGAAAGTGGGCATCCTTGTCTTGTTCCTGTTCTTAAGGGAAATGCTTTTAGTTTTTGCCCATTGAGAATAATGTTGGCTGTAGGTCTTTCATATATGGTCTTTATTATGTCAAAATATGATCCCTCTATTCCCAGATTGATGAGCATTTTTATCAGAAATGAGGACTGGATTTTGTTGAATGCTTTTTCAGCGTCTATTGATATGATCATATGATTTTTATCTTTCATTTTGTTTATGTGATATATCACATGTATTGATTTGCGAATATTATACCAGCCTTGCATCCCTGGGATGAATCCACTTGGTCATGGTGAATAATTTTTTTGATGTATTGCTGGATTCGATTTGCTAGTATTTTGTTCAAGATTTTGACATCTATGTTCATCAGGGATATTGGCCTGAATACCAACGACATGCTTCACAGAACTAGAACAAATACTTCAAAAGTTCATATAGAACCAAAAAAGACCCTGAAAAGCCACACGAATCTTGAAAAAGAAGAACAAAGTTGGAGGGATTACATTACCAGATTTCAGATTATACTACAAAACCACTGTAATCAAAACAGCCTGCTACTGGCACAAGAACAGGCAGATAGATCAACAAAACAGAATAGAGAACCCAGAAATGGACCCAAGACAACATGCTCAATTAATATTTGTCAAATGGGGCAAGAGCATACAGTGGAGTAAAGACAGCCTCTTTAATAAATGGTGTTGGGAAAATTGGACAGCTACATAGAAAAAAATGAAACTAGACCATCAACTTACACCATACACAAGTATAAACTGAAAATGGATAAAAGGCTTAAATATGAGTCATGAATTCATAAAAATCCTAGAAGAAACTGTAGGCAATAAAATTTCAGACATCATACGCAGCAGAATTTTCACTGATACATCACCTAAGGCAACAGAAACAAAGAAGAAAATGAACACATGGGACTACATCAAACTCAAAAGCTTCTGCACAGCAAAAGAAACAACCACCAAAATGGAAAGGCAACCCACTCTATGGGAGAGCATAATTGCCAATGATACATCAGATAAGGGGTTAATTTCCAAAATATATAGAGTCCTCATACAACTCAACAAAAGGAAGACAAAGAACCCAATTAAAAAATGAGCAGGGGAACTAAATAGACACCTCTCCAGACAGGACATACAAATGGCTAAGAGACATGAAGAAATGCTCAACATCACTAATCATCAGAGAGATGCAAATTAAAACAACAATGAGGTATCACTTCACACCTATCAGAATGGCCGCCATCAACAAATCATCAAACATCAAGTATTGGCGAGGGTGTGGAGAAAAGGGGACTCTAGTATACTGCTGGTGGGAATGCAGACTGGTGCAGCCATTATGGAAACCAACATGCTGTTACCTCAAAAAATTAAAAATTGAATCACCATTGGACCCAGTGATCCCACTTCTAGGAATATGCCCTAAGAAGCCTGAAATATCAATCAGAAAGATTATATGTACCCCTATGTTCAAGCAGCACTATTTACAATAGCTAAGATCTGGAAACAGCCCAAATGTCCATCAGTAGATGAATGGATAAAAAAGCCATGGTATATATACACAATGGAGTACTATGCAGCTGTAAGAAAGAAAGATGTCTTATCCTTTGAGATGACATGAAGGGACCTGGTAAGTATTATCCTAAGTGAAACAAGCCAAACAGAGAAGGACAAGTATCATATGATCTCACTTATTTGTGGAATATAATGAACCTAACAGTCTGAGGAATGGGGTCGTCCCAGAGACGTGGAAGTGGGGTACAGAGTGACAATCCCCAGAAGAGGGTGTGTGTGTGGGGGGGGGGATAAACCACAGAACTTATATGCATGTATGCATGAACAAAGGTCATGGACAACAAAGCTGGGGACAGGGTGGGGAGGGAACGGGAGGAGGGAATCAGTGGGAGGAAAAGGAGAAACATCAGTAACAAAAATAAATTAATTAACTAAAAAAAAAAAGAAACCAAAGTTTATACAGGTTTAGTCATTTTACCAATATCAGATAAACCATAGGGTCAGGGACCAGGTCTTAGCCTTCTGACTTCAAAGCCTATGCTCAAAATGAATAGTCTATATTGACCATCTCCAGAACACTAAACTTATCAATCAAATTGAATTGTTAAAAATATCTTACAAGCCATTTAAAAAACAAGTACATGCAACTGGTCCATTCTCTTCCTTCTATTTGTATCTTGAGGTCTGTAACTGTGGGAATGATGTCTGTGTCTAATAATTATGATTACTTTATATTGATTCATTTGTATTTTAAACATATCCTAAGTATCAATATATTCTAAATTAAAGGCATTTTACTCAGCCTTAACTATTGGACATTAATATGTACTCGTGGCATGAAGTATTCTCAAAATACTTTCTCATGTTAAATGGGGATTTTTTTTTTTTTTTTAATCCTCACCCGAGGATATTTTTCCACTTTTTTGTACAGATAGAGTGGGAGGGAGAGAGAGGGAGAGAAATATCGACATGAAGGGACACATCGAGTGGCTGCCACCCGCACGACCAACCTGGGCTGGGGACAAACTGCAACCGAAGTACATGCCCTTAGCGGGAACCGAACCCGGGTCTCTCCGGACCGCAGGCCGACGCTCCAACCGCTGAGCCAAACCGGCCAGGGCTTAAATGGGGATTTTAAGAGACTTTGTTTCTGATGGGAAAACTACAGGCCTCAGTGGTAGTATTTGGGAGCAAGGAACATACCTCTTCCCCTGCATGTTATTAGCTACACTAAGATAGATTGATTAACTGATTGATAGTGTGAGTTTCCAACTAAAAGGGAACCTGCTTTCTTTATAAAGTATGCAATGCCAAAAATTATCTATGAAAAGGACCTGAAATAGTTGGCAGTTTGGAAAAATAGGTCCCTAACACTGAAAATTGTTACTGGTTTTGTCACTCTTAAAAGTAAATAAAGACAGTGATCCTAACACCCTGTAAACCCAATTTCCCACTTAAGATTAAGAAGCTTATTGAACCACCGCCTGATTTTAGGACTGACCTAATTGTTTTCAAGTTCCATGTGGTTGTGCTAATGTGTGAGACTCATCTAATAGGTCATGTGTACTATTCTCTAATATTCTTTGAAGGAAATGATGATTATTTTGCTCTTCAAGGCAGGTAATTATGGCCCAAGAAACTTCCTGGTGTCCTGACACCTCATAGTAGAAGTTCAGTTCTCCAATTAGAATGTATATAAATCATCCTTTGATCAAGATTTTATCTTGTTTCTAAGTAAGCAATAAAAATGTTAAGACTTTTAAAGTTGTAGGCCTAAAAAATTCATCCTTGGGGCAGTTACAAAAAGTATTTTTTAAATCTTTTTTTTTTTTTTTAATCAGCTTGGTAAATCTGGTCTCATCTTATCCTAGTTCTTACATAACAGACTTGTTCAGTTAGGATCAAAAGCTGGTGTAAATTGCCACTGAGCACTATTTATTATATTGATGAAAGTGAAACTGCCAGATAAAATTAAATGAAAGTGGTCAGAATGGAGGAAAGAAAATAAAAATAAAACGGATAAAGTGGGGTATTTCTCCATGATCTGGCTATTCTCACAACCTTAGTCATAGGGCAGACACATTTCAAAGTCACTCATAAAAGAAAATGTGACTAATTAATTTCAAATATTTGAGTTATGAAACATTGAATATTAGTCATTTTCCTCCTTGCACATACTATGTTAATAATGCTAAACTTTCAGTAGTTTTGGGAGCTTGTCTGAATAATTGAAATGAGTGCTATAACTCTGAATCATCCTCACGGTAAAATGAGTTTCCATTTTCTTCAGTTTAAATTATACTTGAAGCATTTTTTTAAAGATTTAAGAGGTGTTATTTTTTATTTTTTTTTGTAATGAGATGCAGCTATTAGAATATCTTTTCTGTTTCCTTGTCACTTTGCTTTATTCTTTTCACTGTAGTGAAAGAATGGAACTCTGCAACTTTTGTGTCTGACAGGGCTAAGTAATGTAAATAGCTTCCTTATAAATAATGTAAATTGTTGTTTCCTTATATTTAGTGTCTTTTCAGGCTGCAGGGATCCTTTTTGCCCATCCAAGAGTCTTTATCATCCAAAGTTACTGTTAGAGAAAGAATTAATAAGGTTAGTACTCTTTCTATTTCTAATTCGGGTTTTAATCATTTGGACGGTCCCAAATATGTACATATATATGGTAATTTTTTAAAAGCACAAAGTTCTCCCCTTGCCAGCTCACTAATTTATTTTTTTCACTTCTTCATCCCTTCACTCAGTAAAATGCAACTATTTCTTTAGTGTGACACACAATGCATAAATGAACCCACCCATTCCTACAAAATGAAGATGACACACAACTAATCACGATAAAAAGGCATGCTGTGAAATGTGCTGTGATGAAGGTTCAATAAATGCTAGAGGAGTCTCATGATGCAGTTTGGAATGAAAAGAGAACAG